ATTATTTTCCATAAAAAAACATATTTTTATACCTTCCAATTTGGAAAGGAAGGTATATTATCATTGTCATTCCGTTTGTAACATCCCTAAATATTCGTCGTAGACCCCATAATGTACAGTACCGTGCAAAACCGAGCAGATGTTTTGTAATTTTAACTTCAACACTCTACGAACATAAAAATACATAACCAAATTGTATGAAACTTCGGTATTTTATTCTTTAATGCTTGTTAACAATAACAAAATACAAAATATGATGAAAAATTTAATGGAGAAGGAGAATACAAAACGATCGTCAAAGAAACTCTATTTGCTCAGTTATGCACGTTTCGAAATTATGGTCTGTCTTTATGTTCTTAATACTTTGTCCTTTGAATAAAATCGTTGGGTATTTGGTCCCACTCATGTTGTACACGACGCCACAGTTCGCCCATGTTCTCAGGTGCCCTTTGATATTTTCCGAGACGCTTTTTCACAATCGCCCACAAATTCTCAATTGGATTGAGATCGGGAGATTGAGCTGGCCACTCCATTACCTGGAAATGTTGCTGGGATATCCATTCCTTGACTATTTTAGCCGTGTGTTTTGGATCTCCGTCCTGTTGAAAAATAACTTCCTCCTCGGGATACGCACATCGTTCGACAAAGTCAGGCAAATTGGTCTGCAAAATGTTCAGGTAATCTTCCTTCTTCATAATACCGTTTATTTTAACGAGTGGTCCAACATGCCACCATGTAAAGCAGCCCCACACCATCAAACTGCCTCCTCCATGTTTTACAGTCTGCTTCACGTGATGTCTTTGAATGGTTTCTTCATGTCGACGCCAGCAATACCGTATTCCATCTGACTGAAATCTGTTTATCTTAACTTCGTCAGACCAAATAACGCGTTTCCAATCCTCAGCGCTCCAATTTTTATGATTTTTGCAGAATGCTAATCGAGCTTTAACATTTTGTGCAGATAAAGCTGGTTTTTTCTTTTTAATAGCTGATACGAGTCCGATCCTGTGTAAGGCTCTGCGTGCGGTCCACTCGCTAACAGTTTTATTTAAAACATCTGCAGCCAGATGTTTTTCAGCATTTCCCTTTGCATTAAACGAGCATCCGAGTCTGAGAGTAGCTTGGGCCTTCCTCCAAGATTTGGCTCACATTGAATTTTTCGTCTTTTCTGGACATTTACTACTGTGCGTTGGCTAATGTTTAATTTTTCTGCAATTTTTCGTGATGATTCACCTCTTTCGGTTAGCACAACAACGCTATTTTCTATTTCAGCACTTATTTTTCTCATTTTTGCAATGTTTTAACTTTAAATGGTTTTTTACTACTAAAATCATGGACTAATAGCAAGCAAAGTCTAAATGTAGAATCCAAAACAAATAACGGTACATTTTTCTATTCGTCTATTCTATTCTTTCTTTCATTCTCTCAGAGAAATTGTAAGTTTATGAGCGTAAATGCGAAACGTGCATAACTGAGCAAATAGAGTTTCTTTGACGATCGTTTTGTATTCTCCTTCTCCTTTAAATTTTTCATCATATTTTGTTTGTTGTTATTGTTAACAAGCATTAAAGAATATAATACTGAATTTTCATTGAATTCGGTTGTGTATTTTTATATTTGCAGAGCGTCAAAGTTAAATTAACATAACATTTGCTCGTTTTTGCACGCTACTGTATATATATATATATATATATATATATATATATATATATATATATATATATATATATATATATATATATATATATATATATATATATATATATTCATAGTCAGCATAAAATTCGATTTCGATGTCCGTCTGTCTGTCTGTATGTTGAAACCACGATAGAGGACACCTTATTTGACGTAGAGCTATATTCGTCCAATTTTTGGTATAGTCCCCACATAACGGTACCTTCCGATATTCCGTATTTTGATGATTTTTGCAACATTTTTTACCGGATTTGTCTAAAAATTGGTGTTTGTAGGTCATAATGGGTCCTAGTTCGTGTGGCGGAACATTGTATGTAAAGGTCCACGCTTTGGTATAGCCCCTATACAACGGTACCTCCCATATTCAGTATTTTGATGATTTTAGCGACATTATTCTCCGGAATTGTTTCAAATTTGGTATTTGAAGTTCGTAATGGATACTACAGCCTATGACAGAAAATTATCTATGCAGGTCCAGGTCTTCGTGTAGGTCCGATATAACGGTACCTCCCTATAAACGGTATTTTGATAATTTTAGCAACATTATTCACCGTTTATTTCACGTTTCAAATTTGAATATGGCAATGGCCTATGACAAACAATACTTATTTAGGCCCACGTCGTATAGACCCCAATATAACGCATATATTCGGTATTTTTAAGATTTTTACAGAACTTTTAACTGATTTTATTTTTTGAAAATTATAAAATTCGTTTCAAATTGGGGAGTTTTCAAAGTTCGGCCCGGCCGAACTTACTGCTTTTTAACTCGTTATCTATCATAACTTGCTAAAAAAAAGTCAGCTATTTTTTACAACTTACTATATCTAAATATTTTTCTAAACCACAAACCTGAGATGAATGTGGAATTTATGGTTTTATTTTCTTGTAATTATGGCCATACCAATATTTTTATCTGTATTAGATGAAGTATGAAAATGGAATACTTCGGTCGATTATATCTGATATCTCACGCAAATATTAACATTTTCTAGAAATAATCGCATACCTCATATAAAGTGAAGGAAGTAACCAATACAGTCCAAACCTGACACGTCACAATATTTATATCATATTTATATTTATATCATATTTATTATTTGAATAATTATAAGAGAAGTTAAAATATATTTAAATAATCGAACATTGGCTGATTGTATACATTTGTCGGCAAAGCCAACTAATACTTTTCAACTTTTTTTTCTAAATTTGAGGGTCAATAAAGTACCTTGAACAAACACCTTGTCTGCCATAATGACTGATAGTGCCGAATATGATTTGACCTCTATGACCTTAGCCAACACTAATGGCAAGTAATTGGACGAATATTTAATGTTGATAATATGCAGAAATAAATGATATACAAATTTCAAGCATACTTTTAGGGGATACACAATTTTCTTTACATAAAATAGGGAATCCCAATGAGAATCGAAAATGGCCTCAGTCCTCGTCTGACAGGTGTTAAAATTATTCCAGTGACAGCTCATTATTTTTTTACAAGCGTACAAAAGCATTTTGGTGAGAATTTTCCAAAAAAAATGTATTCTTGATGGATTTCAAGCGTGATAGTGTGACTTCTTTATATTTGACTGGAAAACCACTAGTGTCTATCGTTAGAGCACTCCAGCATTTAAATGTGAATAGATCTTTTGTGTGTCGTTACCGTGATACTGGTAGCGTAGCCCGAAGTCAAGGAAGTGGACGGAAGAAAATAGCAGAAATGGTTCGAAAAGTAAAGAAGCGACTTGTTCGAAACCAGCGTCGCAGTGGCCGAAAAATGGCTCTTGAGCTGAACATATAACAATATTCCATTCGGCAAATATTAAAAAATGATTTTACCCAAATGTATGTTATGTCTGCAGGACTTTCGGTATCGAAAATGGACCATGTAGGTCCACGCCTTCGTACAGCCCCCATATACCGGTACCTTCCGATATTCAGTATTTTGATGATTTTTGCGACATTATTCATCGGAACTGTTTCAAATGTGGTATTTGAAGTTCGTAATAGATATTACAGCCTAAGACAGAAAATTGTCTGTGCAGGTCCACATCTTCGTATGGCCCTCATATAACGGTACCTCCCGATATTCGGTATTTTAATCATTTTAGCGACATTATTCGCCGGAATTGTTTCAAATTTGGTATTTGAAGTTCGTAGTGGATACTACAGCCTAAGACAGAGACTTGCCTGTGCAGGTCCGAGTCTTCGTACAGCCCCCATATAATGGTACCTCCCTATATTCGGTATTTTGACGAGTTAAAATACAATACCCACCGAAATTGTTTGAGATGTCGTATTTGAAGTTCGTAGTAGATATTACAGCCTCAGACAGAAAATTGTCTGTGCAGGTCCATGTCTTCGTATAGCCCCCATATAAAGGTACCTCCCGATATTCGGTATTATGATGATTTTAGCGACAGTATTCATCGGAATTGTTTCAAATTTGGTATTTGATGATCGTAATGGATACTACAGCCTTAGACAGAAAATTGTCTGTGCCGGTCCATGTCTTTGTACAGCCCCCATATAACGGCACCTCCCAATATTTGGTATTTTGATGATTTTGACAACATTTTTCACCGGAATTGTTTCAGATTTGGTATTTAAAGTTCGTAAAGGATACTACAGCCTATGCAAAAAAAAAAAAATTGTCTGTGCAGGTCCACTTTTTATAACCCCCATAGTACTTCCCTATATTCGGTATTTTTATGATATTAGCTACATTATAAACAGATTTTTTTTTCAAGTTTCGCATTTGAATATTGTAATAGATTGTGACAAAAGTCGCCTATGCAGGTCCACGTCGTCGTATAGACTCTAATATACGGCTACATTTGGTATTTTAATGATTTTAACAAAATTTTTAACGGATTTAATTTTTTTTGAAAATTGCAAATTTGTACCAATTGGTGGAGGGTATTCAAAGTTCGGCCCGAAAGAGTCACTACTGCTTCTCTTCCTCTGCCATATTGTTACGTGTTATCTACATAGGCGCTGTGGTGTTTTATCAGCAAGATCAGGCGTGTATTTTTCTTCAGGGCGGTTCCAACCCTTACGGCGTAGCCCTAGGGGCCGAACAATTAATGTTTACATTGACATACTAAACAAAACGATCACAAACACTCATTACACCAATAACAAGGGAGTTTTGTGGTTTTACTCCCACGCATCGCCCGCCCATCCTTGAGCCTCGGATTCTAATGACAAATAATATTATAAGGGCCCACCGTCTACGATCACTCACACATTAAGACAAAGCTACCCTATTTTCCGCTCTCGAACACAATTAGCAATCCATATTTATATGTTACAACATCACCATTTTTGATATTCAAATTTTATTAATTCACTCCCTCGTCAAGTCCACCAAACTTACTTAACTTGTCAATTTCGAACAAGTCTTGATATTGGCTGGGAACTGAGTGAAGGTAGTTTCCAATGTATTGACAGCAGCCATGACACAGTCGCTGGTGTCACCGGGCACCTTCTTGATGTCCTTGATCATTTTGATGGCTCTCTTGATTTGTTTCTTCAACTTGTTGACCTTGCGCACCATCTTGACGAAACACTTGTGGGCGGTCTTGGCCTTGGAGATGACACCCTGCGTTTCAGGCTGCTCCTCCTCAACATCATTGCTATTGCCGCAAACACTTTCGTTAATACCCAAAATTTCCTTGCATGTCTTCAAAATGTCATTGCAGGCATCAATCAGTTTTTGCACTTTCTTAGAAACTTCGCCGCCACAAGCCTTGACATTGTCGACGAAATTTTGGGCAGCCGTCTGAATTGCCAAGACCTCCTTAATGGTACAGTTCAAACCCTTTACATAACGCAGAGCCTTCTTGATGACGGAATACATGCCGGTGAAGGCACCATAGGGTTCAATCTCTGCAATTTCATCGGCCAAATCTTGGGCAGTGAGTTCCAAGTCTTCCATTAGTTCATTGTTAAGGAAAATATCACCAGTGGCATTGGCCTGCAGGAAAAAGGAGAATTACAATTAAATCTAGGTATTTTTTTTTATAGATTCCGTAAGGAAAACTCACCGATACCGCCACCAGGCAAAAAGCAGCAATAACTGCAAACACCGTGAATTTCATTTTGATTTTTTGTTGTTAACACCGAACGCCAATAAACTGCACGGATTAATAACTGACACTGCCATAAACGATTTCTGCCACTTTTATAGCCACCGTTTAGCTGGGGGATTTTGTCGATTTAGGGTTATCTGACAGCAATGTACATTTTTTTGGACTTTCTCAATATTTCCAAACATAGATTTTTTTTATCGGATTTTCTTTTTTAATAAATGACGTTAAGTATAATTATTTGATGCTAGATAACGAACGGTATTGGAGCGTCAAACACTTGAACAATTTCTAATATGGGAAATTGTCAATTGTCTGATAAGACATTGTCCGATAAGACCGACAGACAAACAACACTAGGGTGCTGAAGACTATTGGGGAAATGTGTTGATGAAATAAATTAAAGAATTAAAAACGACAAATAGGTAGGCTGAAAGATGAACAAAGAAAAAAAATTAAGTATGTGCTCTGACAGAAATATGTAAATGGGCTATGTAGGTTCACGTTTTCGTATAGCCCCCATCTAACGGTACCCTTCGATATTCGGTATTTTGATGATTTTAGCGACATTATTTACCGGAATTGTTTCAAATTTGGTATTTGAAGTTCGTAATGGACACTATAGCCTCAGACATAAAATGAGCCATGTAGGTCCACGTCTTCGTATAACCGCCATATAACGGTACCACCGATATTCGGTATTTTGATGATTTTAGCGACATTAATTACCGGAATTGTTTCAAATTTGGTATTTGAAGTTCGAAATGGATACTATAACCTAAGACAGAAAATCGGTCATGTAGGTCCACGCCTTCGTATAGCCGCCATATAACTGTACCCCTCGATATTCGATATTTTGATGATTTTAGCGACATTATTTATCGGAATTGTTTCAAATTTGGTATTTGAAGTTCGTAATAGATACTACACCATACGACAGGAGATTGTTTGTGCAGGTTCACGTCTTCGTATAGCCCCCATATAACGGTACCCCCGATATTCGGTATTTGGATGATTTTAGCGACATTATTTACCGGTATTGTTTCAAATTTGGTATTTGAAGATCGTAATGGATACTATAACCTAAGACAGAAAATCGCTCATGTAGGTCCACGTCTTCGTATAGCCGCCATATAACGGTACCCTCCGATATTCGGTATTTGGATGATTTTAGCGGCATTATTCACCGGAATTGTTTCAAATTTGGTATTTGAAGTTTGTAGTGGATACTACAGCCTAAGACAGAAAATGAGCCATGTGGGTCTACGTCTTCGTATAGCCCCCATATAACGGTACCTCCCGATATTCGGTTTTTTTGATGATTTTAGCGACATTATTTACCGGAATTGTTTCAATTTTGGTATTTGAAGTTCGTAATGGATACTACAGCCTTAGACAGAAAATGAGCCATGTGGGTCCACGTCTTCGTATAGCCCCCATATAACGGTACCTCCCGATATTGGGTATCTTGAATATTTTAACGACATTATTTATTCGAATTGGTTCAAATTTGGTATTTGAAGTTCGTAATGGATACTACAGCCTAAGACAGAAAATGAGCCATGTGGGTCCACGTCTTCGTATAGCCCCCATATAAATGTACCCCTCGATATTTGGTATGTTGATGATTTTAGCGACATTATTTACCGGAATTCTTTCAAATTTGGTATTTGAAGTTCGTAGTGGAGACTACAGCTTAAGACAGAAAATGAGCCATGTGGGTCCACGTCTTCGTATAGCCCCCATATAATGGTACCTCACGATATTCTGTATTTTGATGATTTCAGCGACATTATTCACCGGAATTGTTTCAAATTTGGTATTTGAAGTTCGAAACACTAGTAGATTGCAATTGTTACACTTCCTTTGTTATTCAGTTGTTGGCAACATTTGCTGCCACAGGTGCTCTTGTTCGTATTATTATTCAATTAAAAACACAGATTTTTACTTTCTCTTTTCATTTTATTTGAAGCTAACGGTATACGTAGAAAATCATTACACACTATTTCGAGTTTCAAAAAACACTAACCACAACTGTAGTCGGTTTATCGGCTTCGCAAATATAGAATGCATCCTTCTTGCAGATCCAGTCATTCATTTGGTATTTTGTCGACTGGTACCACAAATGCATGCAATTTTCATTGCCTCCAGCATTATCAGGCTGTTTATCTGACCAGTCAGCATATTTGACTGGTTCCCCAGTTCGGTACCAATAAAAATTACCCTCTGAATCTAGATCAGATCCCGATATCCACCACCATCTGTCCGTTGGATAATTGGCTATTAAATGGTCTGATAATTCCTGGAATTCTTGTTGATTGTCAAAAGAGGCCAAGTAACCACCCATAGAACGACATATTAAGTTTGCCTTGAACCAAGAAACCTTGGGAATGCGATAACAGAATTTAAATGAAATGGTTTTTTTCTTTTATTAAAATTTCTTCTGTTTACCTTTGATTGACCAACATGATAAAGTTTATTTCCGACTTTAGTGAATGGTGTCACTTCCAATTTATTGGGGTATCCTAAAAAGAAACAAGACAAACAATATTACTCAATGGAGACGATCCATACCGGCAGCATTTCATAATCGGGAAGATTTGTTGTCCTCTAGTACCTTCCAAAATGGTGGCCGACACTTTTTGTGTTCGTGAGCCAATTACAACTGGACAGATGAAACCCAAAAGGAGACAAATAGTCAAGACACTGTTGTAGAACATGACTGTTTCTTCTTCTTATCTCGCCAATGATTGACAAATGACTGAATCGTTGTCCAATATATAGCCCCCGAAAAAAAATATATTATCAATGATCTCATTAACAGCTTTCTTTTTTTACGAGGTTGATGCAAGGCGACTTGGAAATCTTTATTAACGAACGGTAAATGCTTAATTCTAAAAATATGCTTAATTTCTAAATGTGATTCATGAATATTTATTAAATATTTAAATACTTATTTCAATCTAATTGGGTTTGGTTTGATTTGAGCGAGAGTATCTATAAGGGAGTTCTCAGCTAGTTCAATCAAACACTTTCCGTTTGTGATAGTTCTGAAGTAAATATTTCTTGAATTTTAATAATTATTGAATTTTAAATATTGGGAATAAATTATGCATAAATTATTTTTATTTTAAATGACAGCCAGCCAGCCAGCTGAAGCAGCTTCTGCCTTCATCTGCGAATTCCCTTTGGAACGATTTAAACTTGCCATCTCTGGCTGGAGCAGATTCTTTCTTTCTTTGCTGTTTATTATATTCAGATTTAATATCAAAACAACTAATAATAATTACCTGCGATGCACCAAAAAAAAAAAAAAAAAAAACGGCCAATTGCAGTATTCTCCACTTATAAATGACCCTGTCTTGCATCAATTGTCGATAGAACTGATCGACGGGAAATATTTTACACCAGAAGCATATTCAGGCTCGAACCACAAAGGTCGAAATTTTCAATATATATATTTTTTGCACAGAAAGAGAAACGATAATTCGATTTTGCTGCACCTTTGCAAATCCTAATATTTGCGTCAGTGCTGGGTCTGGTGCAAAAATGGACAATATCGGTTCACTCCTTCTGGTACCTCCCCCACAAAGGTTCAAAATTTTAAATAATTACAACTCTCATAAATTGTGATGTAAGAGTCATATTGTCTTCAAATTTCACACATCTCAATATTTTTATCAGCCCAAGATCTGGTGTTAAGATGGAATATATCGGTCCACCCATTCTGGTACCTCCCATACACAAATGGTCGAAATTAAAAAAAAACAAACAAAAAAGAATATATATGCACAAAAAGAGAAGCAATAATCCGATATTGCTCCAACTTTGCACATTCTAATATTTGTGTCAGTGCTAGGTCAGGTGTATCGGAACACTCCATCAAGTACCTCCCCCACAAAGGGTCAAAATTTTAATTAATTACAACTCTCATAAAATGTGATGTAAGAGTCCAATTGTCTTCAAATTTCACACATATCAATATTTGTATTAACCCAAGGTATGGTGTTAAGATGGAATATATCGGTCCATTCCCTCTGGTACCTTCACACAAAATGTCGAAATTTTCAAAATTATATATTTTTTGCGCAGAAAAGAGAAAGAGAAAGGATAATCCGATTTTGCTCCAACTTTGCATATCCTAATATTTGCGTCAGTGCTAGGTCTGGTGCGAAAATGGACAATATCGGACCACTCCTTCTGGTACCTCCCCCGCACAAATGGCCGAAATTAAAAAAAAACAAACAAAAAATATATTTTGCACAGAAAGAGAAGCAATAATCCGATTTTGCTCTAACTTTGCAAATCCTAATATTTGCGTCAGTGCTAGGTCTGGTGCGAAAATGGACAATATCGGTTCACTCCTTCTGGTACCTCCCCCACAAACGGTCAATATTTTGAACAATTACAATTCTTATAAAATGTGATGTAAAAGTCCGATTGTCTTAAAATTTAATACATCCTAATAATTTTGTCAACCCAAAATCTGGTGTTAAGATGGAATATATCGGTCCACTCCTTCTGGTACCTCCCCCACAAAAGGTCGAAATTTTTAATATTTATTAAGCTCATAAAATGCCAAATTACCATTCGATTCCATTTAAACTTGGCACATCTGAATATTTCCATCAACACAAGATATGTTAAAATGATGGTAGAGATCGGAATGCACCTTCTGGTACCTCCCCTACAAAGGTTGAAAATTTTGAATAACCAAAACGATCATAAAATCCGAAAAAAAAACATCCAGTTCTCTTCAAATTAGATCACAATCACAATATTTTTATTAACCCAAGGTCTGGCCTGAAGATGCTATATATCGATCCACTCCTTCTGGTACCTTCCCCACAAAAGGTCGAAATTTTTAATATTTATTGAGCTCATAAAATGCAAAATTACCATTCGAATCCATTTAAACTTGATTTTAGAGATCGGAATACTCCTTCCCTATACCTCCCCTACAAAGGTTGAAATTTTTGAATAACCAAAACGATCATAAAATCCGAAAAAAACTTCCAGTTCTCTTCAAATTAGATCACAATCACAATATTTTTATTAACCCAAGGTCTGGTCTGAAGATGCTATATATCGATCTACTCCTTCTGGTACCTTCCCCACAAAGGGTCAAAATGAACCTCGATTCAATTCAGACGTGTTATATAGCTATATTTCCATCAACACAATTCTCTATCATAGGCTGTATTATTCACTACGAACTTCAAATGCGAAATTTGAAACAATTCCGGTGAATAATGTCGCTAAAATCATCAAAATAACGAATATGGAAAGGTACCGCTATATGGGGGCTATACGAAGACATGGACCTGAACGGACAATTTTCTGTCATGGGCTGTAGTATCCATCACAAACTTCAAATACCAAATTTGAAATAATTCTGGTTAATAATGTCGCTAAAATCATCAAAATATCGAATATCTGGAGGTACCGCTATATGGGACCTATATGGCCCATTTTCTGTCTTAGGCTGTAGTATCTATTTCAAACTTCAAATGCCAAATTTGAAAGAATTCCGGTGAATAATGTCGCTAAAATCATCAAAATGCCGAATATCGGGAGGTACCGCTATATGGGGGCTATACGAAGACATGGACCTACATGACTTATTTTCTGTCTTAGGCTGTAGTATCTATTACGAACTTCACATATCAAATTTGAAAGAATTCCGGTGAATAATATCGCGAAATCTGTCCGTCTGTGGTAATAACTCTAGCTTCCGAAAAAAAATGAACTTAAATGTATATTACGTCTGCAGGACTATTGGTATTGAAAATGGGCCATGTAGGCCTACGTCTCCATATAGCCCCCATATAACGGTACCTCCCAACATTTGGTATTTTGGTGATTTTAGCGACATTATTCACCGGAATTGTTTCAAACTTGGTATTTCAAGTTGGTAATGGATACTACAGCCTATGGCAGAAAACTGTCTGTGCAGGTTCACGTTTTCGTATAGCCCCATGTAATACCAATCGGCGACATTCGATATTTTTATGATTTTAACAGATTTTATTTATTTATTTTTTTTTTTAAATTACCAAAATCCGTTCCAAGTGGTCGTGGGTATTCAAAGTTCGGCCCGGCCGAACTTTTAGCGTTTTTACTTGTTTATATTTATCTTATCGCATTTGAACACTTGTAGATTGTAATTGTTACACTTCCTTTGTTATTCAGTTGTTGGCAACATTTGCTGCCACAGGTGCTCTTCCGATTCCGATTATTATTCAATTAAAAACACAGGTTTTTGCTTTCTTTTTTTTCAATTTATTTTAAGCTAAACAGATACGTAGAATATCATTACACACTATTTCAAAACACACTAACCACGACTGTACTCGGCCTATCGGCTTCGCAAATGTAGAAAGCATCAAATTTGCAAATCCAGTCATTCATTTCATATTTTGTCGACTGGAACCATAAATGCATGCAATTTTCATTGCCTCCAGCATTATCAGGCTGTCCACGTGACCAGGCGGCATATTTAACTGGTTCCCCAGTTCGGTACCAATAAAAATTACCCTCTGAATCTAGATCAGATCCCGATATCCACCACCATCTGTCCGTTGGATAATTGTTTTTTAAATGCTCTGACAATTCCTGGAATTCTTGTTGATTGTCAAAAGAGGCCAAGTAACCACCCATAGTTCGGCATATTAAGTTTGCCTTGAACCAAGAAACCTTGGGAATGTGATAACAGAATTTAAATGAACTGGTTTTTTTCTTTTATTAAAATTTCTTTTTTTCTACCTTTGATTGACCCACATGATACAGTTTATTTCCGACTCTAGTGAATGGTGTCACTTCCAATTGATCGGGGTATCCTAAAAAGAAACAAGACAATTAATATAACTCAATGGAGACGATCCATACTGGCAGCATTTCATAATCGGGAAGATTTGTTGTCCTCTATTACCTTCCAGTATGGTGGCCGACACTTTTTGTGTTCGTGAGCCAATTACAACTGGACAGATGAAACTCACAAGGAGACAAATAGTGAAGACACTGTTGTAGAACATGATTGTTTTCGTCTTATCTCGCCAGCGATTGCCATACGACTGAATAATTTTTATATAGCCCCTGAAATAAAAATATTATCAATGATCTCATTCACAGCTGTCTTCTTTGTGAGATTGATGCAAGGGGACTTTTTTTAGACTTAGAAATCTTTATCAACAAAAACTAAAAGCTTTATTGAATAGTTTCATTCTAAATATGATTCATCAATATTTACTTAATGTACCGAGTGGAGGGACCACTCATTTCAATCTGATTGGGTTTGGTTTGATTTGAGCGAGAGTATCTCTAAGGAGTTCCCAGCTATTGCACTCAAAGACTTTCCGCTTGTTATAGTCCTCAAGTAGAATGGAAATAATTATTGGCATTTTAAATATTGGGAATAAATTATACATAACTTATACAGGGTGAGACTTCAGACTGCTGCCATTTCTAAGCCACTCATCCGACAGCTGTTAAAATTATTCCAGTGACAGCTCATTATATTGTTTACAAGCGTACAAAAGCATTTTGGTGAGAACTTTCCAGAAAAAAAGTTATTCGTGATGGAATTCAAGCGGGTGGAATTATATTTGGCTGGAAAATAAGTGGCTATCGTTAGAGCACTCCAGCATTTAAATGTGAATAAATCTTTTGTGTCTCGTAACATCACTCGTTACCGTGATACTGGTAGCGTAGCCCGACGTCAAGAAAGTGGACGGAAGAAAACAGCAACATCAGCAGAAATGGTTTGAAAAGTAAAGAAGCAACTTAATCGAAACCGGCGTCGCAGTAGCCGAAAAATGGTTCGTGAGCTGAACATCGCAATCGCAATATTCCATTCGGCAAATATTGAAAAATGAGCTCGGGGTAAAGTCATTGAAATTCCAAAAAGTGCAAGAACTTACACCGCAACAGAAAGAACATAGACTCAAAAGAGCTAAAGTGTAGCTTCGCTTGGCCGAATGAAGTGAACTGCCGAATTTGGGTTTCTCCGATGAGAAAACATTTGTTGACCAGCAGTTTGTAAACAAACAAAATGATCGTGTTTACTTGCCAAAGAGGTCAGCTGAAAATGTGCACCTTCGGTTGGCCACCAGAACTCAAGCGCCGGCCAGGGTGATGGTGTGTGCCACCATAACAGCCGATGGTCTCCTCACTCTCCGTTCGTATTAATCGACCATCATATTAATCGGCATCAGAATAAATGCAAAATATATACGCCACAGATCTTGGACATTCCAACAGGACTCAGGACTCGCGCCAGCCGAGAATGGTTATAAAATGAGGTTCCATGGCCACCAAAATCTCCGGATACCAATCCGTTGTCTGGAGTATTTTGGAAAGCAAAAAAATCTCTTTTTGGAGTTTAAATTTCTGAAAATTGTCTATGCAGTTCCAGGCCTTCATATAACCTCGATATAACGGTACCTCCCTATATTCGGTATTATGATAATTTTAGCCACATTATTCACAGGATTTTTTTAAGTTTCACATTTTTTGCTACGTTCGGTATTTTTAAGATTTTAACAGAATTTTTAACGTATTTTTTTTTTTTTTTTTAAATTACCAAATTCGTTCCAAATGTTGGAGGGTATTCAAAGTTCGGCACGGTTTTTTTTACTCGTTTAGCTCTACATTCATAATTTGCTGGATTTTTTTTGTCATAATTTTTTGTTGCTGTACAGGCTAGTTCAATTCTGTTCCCAACAGAAATATTAGTTACTGTTGCAGCACCCCAGTGTATTGTCTTATCAGACAATTGAACGTTTCAGATTAACCCACACCAAGTGAAGAGTGCGCCCCAATACGTGCCCATCAAATTATTGTACTTAATGTCATTTATTAAATTCGAATTTTGATTGAAAAATGTTTCTGGAATATTAAGATAAGTCCAAAGTCGTGTGTGGGCTTAGATAAAACTCTCACAGCTAAGAGGGGTTGCTATAAATGTGTATGACAGCCACATAATTATTTTTATATATTTTAATATTGAATGGAGAACATTGCAGGACTGCTTATCCTTTCATTCAAGAGGTCTTTCCTACCTACTGAGCGAATCGATACTTGTGTGTGGGTCATAACTTTTATTATCTAATACATTTTCGTATACGACAGCGCACCAGATCACTGAATTGTAAGCATATGACATTATATGACCGCTGGGAAACGTATAATTGTGAAATATTTATAGTGAAGCAACCCGTTTTATTCTTGTATATTTATATTTACTCCCAAATCATGCAACCTTGTATTCTATTTAAATTAGTACTATTATAGACAACTTAGCCATTACATTATTAAATAACTGCGTTCTAGACGACAGTTTCGCTTCTCAAACATAGAACCTAAGTAAGAATGATTTGCAATAAATCACTCATACAGCGATCTCCATTCTAACACGTTACATCGTAACCATCAGATAAGATTGTTTTGAGCAAGAATAAAGTAGCACTCATACAGCGATCTCCATTCTAACATGTTACATCGTAACCATCAGATAAGATTGCTGTGAGCGTTAACAAAGAAAATACTTGAATCTTGGTGTGTCTTAATTTATGTACAATTTGCGAAGCAAATCTGTTTCATTGACGCCCAACGCAGAAACAACGGCGGCGGAAAACACAAATAAAAGTGTTTCAATAGGATTTTTTTTGTGAGTGAGCGAGGCCGTTATATGGGGCCATACCAAAACCGGAACCTATATAGGCGATTTTATACTTCAAGGATTGTTATCTATCAAATCTTCTAAAATACCAAATTTGGTACAATTATGTGAGTAAATGTGACTAGGATTATCAAAATACCGATTATCGGTCGGTATAAATATTCAATATTTTGCTACCGGGCTAGAACCCATTATGAACTGCAACTAACAATTTTTATCAAAATATGGATTATCGGGAGGTACCGCTATATGGGAGACTATACTAAAACGTGGGCCTATACATACAATGTTTCGCCATACGAGCTAGAAACCAGTTTGACCCACAAATACCAATTTTTAGACAAGTTTGTGGGGAAATGCGGCAAAAATCAAAATACCGAATATCGGGAGAAACCGTTATATGGGATCTATACCAAAACGTGGACCTATGCATACAATGTTTCGCCATACGAGCTAGAACCCAATATTCTTCCAATTTTTAGACAAATCCGTGAAAAAATGTGGCAAAAATCATCAAAATACCGAAAATTTGCAGGTGGACCTATACATACAATTTTTCGCCTCACGAGATAGAACCCATTATGAACTACAAAAGCCAATTTTTGAGTTTTGCCTTATTAAGGCGAAGATCAGATCATTAAGCTCGTCTCGAAAGAGAAATCAAACACATAAATCATAAAACATATGATCTTCGCCTTAATAAGGCAAAACTCAAAAATTCAGCCGAGCCTGGCTGTGGGATTTGAACCGCGGACCTCGGTGTGCAGCCAACTAGAAGTTGCCGTCTCTACGTTCAGAGCCATTAACCCGTCTTCCTAAAGTAGCACTAAAACAAGTGTATGCATTGGAAGCAATGTAGTTGTTGTGGACAAAAAATCCATCACTACTAAAACAAAAACCTTGCTGTGAAAAAGATCTGCCAATAGAACTTGAGTCGGACCTGGAGAGTTTCTAGTGTACAATTCGCATATGCTAATTTGCAATAAGTTCGAAATATATACTAATTTCCAGAGAACGGCCCTTGTAAGCCATCATCCACACCAAATATGCCTGATGAGCCGCTTAACCAACGGCGAAACGCGTCGCATAGTGGTGAGAGTGTGATAGTGTCTATCTGGCTTTCCTTTTCACTGCAAATTTCAGATCATTAAGCTCGTCTCGAAAGAGAAATCAAACACATAAATCATAAAACATATGATCTTCGCCTTAATAAGGCAAAACTCAATAATACAAATTGTTCTGCCAAATTTTGAAGCTCTACGTCAAATAGTGTGGGCTGTATCGTGATTTCAACAGACAGTCGGACAGGCGGACGGACATCGTTAAGTCGACTTAGAATATTATGCTGATTATGAATATATATACTTTATGGGGTCTACTGGAAAGGAGGGTACCAAGGAGGAGGGTGTAAAGACAGTAACTTCGACCGGGCCGAACTTTGAATACCCTCCACCATTTGGAACGAATTTGAAAATTTGCAAAATATAAAAAAATCCATAGAACAGTGTTGGCTTGTTTGTTCAGGATACCATAGTATTTTGTTGTTGCAAAATGGTCAGGCTTAATCCCTTTATTGTTGTTTTTATAAAAACAACGTTTGTTTATTAGTGAAGAACGATGGTAATGTTTACCAGGTGGTAAGGCAGGGAATACCTAGGTTTTGGAAAGAGCCACCAATCCTCATAAGTTCCCTTGTTTTTTTTTTTGTCTGGGATATTCTCCCCAGAAGTTATTTTAAAAATAACTTCTATGACAAAAAAACATTTTTTACCCAAGTGACGAGATCGTAAGCTCAATAGAAGAGAAAGCAAAGAATTAAATAAAACTAAAATTCTTTTGGAAAATCTTCTAAATCTTAAAACCTTAGAAATTCTGTTAAAATCTTGAAATAGCAAATATAGCAATTATGTCGACGACGTGGACCTATATAGGAAAATATTGTATTAGACCATTACAATCTTCAAATACGAAATTAAAAAAAAAAATCCGACGAATCATGTGGCTAAAATCATCATAATACTACATAAAGGGAGGTACTGATATGTGGGGCCTATACGGGAATCTGCACAGACAATTTTCTGTCACAGGCTGTAGTACCCATTAGGAACTTCAAATACTAAATATGAAGCAATTCCGGTTAATAATGTTCCTAACCTATAATCAAAATACCGATTATCGGGGGGTATCGTTGTATGGGGCTATATCGATATCAAGGTCCTATAAAGACAATTCTGTTCCAAGGGCTAATGTACCTAGAAAGAATATCTTGTTTGGATTTTCAGACTATTCCATTGAAAAATATAGCTAAAATCATCTAAGTACGCAACATCGGGGGATACCCTTATATGGGAGCTATACGATATCGTTGACCTATATGGATAATACTTTTCTAGTGGGTAAAGTGCTCAGAGGGTACCCCTTGTGTCGATTTCATCAGAAACTTTGGCTACAATCATCAAAGTACCGAATACCGGGGGTGCTGTTATATGGGGGCTTTATGATATCGTGGACCGATATAGCCCATCTTCGAACTTGACCTGCCATTTTGCATCTGTGCAAAATGAAATACGTTCGCGCTTTTTTTGGTGAAATTTCAAAAAATCTTAATCTGAAAATTTTTCAATGATATGGCAGAAAATATGCTAAATATCTATTACAAGCAATGTATATATGGAGAGAACACCGGATATGTGGATATAAATTTTATGGCACCTTCCTGGCAAATTGACTGAAACTTTCTAACTTGTTTCATTTTTAAATATATAGTATCCAATTAAAAACATAATGTGGCATGACGTCATTCTCTGTGAATGACAGCTCCTTTATGTGATACGTGCTATCGTATGCGTGCTAGCCAAACTCAAGAGTTCAGGTGTGTTTAAATATTGTTTAGCTTCAAACATTGTTTTTTGTTTCTGGTTTGCGCAATTTAAATATTATTCGAAGATTAGCCGATACTCGAAAAACCATAAACATTTAATATTTTTGAGACATGACATGATGGTTCAATGGTATCTGCAAGGTGAGAATGACGGCTTATCTGTCATTTTATTTGAAAACGTAAAATGTGGGGACAAGTGTAGTCAGGTTAAGTTGTATGTTACTGACTATTGAATACAGCAATTGGCCCAAAAAAGGTTGGGGTTTTGTTCGACATACCGAATACAATCAAATCCGAAATATCCGCCACCCTGATTGGCTGTTGCACAATGTAATTTTACAAAATTTGTGGTGTGGTATCTCCGAGGGTTAACTATGAGAGTAACTAGTAGTAAACAGAAGAATGTTGCAAATTATTATTTAAAAAAAAAAAAAAAACATGTAAAAAAACTGTAAGTTCGGCCGGGACGAACTTTGTATACCCTTCACCATTTGATACAAATTTGGCAATTTTCAAAAAAATTAAATACGATAAAAATCCTTTTAAAATCTTAAAAATACCAAATGTAGCCGTATATTAGGGTCTATACGACGACGTGGACAAGCATAGGGAACTTTTGTCAAAAGCTATTATAATATTCAAATGCGAAACTTGGAAAAAAATCTGTTTATAATGTAGCTAAAATCATAAAATACCGAATATAACGAGGTACCATGGGGGTTATAAATCGTGGACCTGCACAGACAATTTTGTGGCATAGGCTGTAGTATTCATTACAAACTTCAAATACCAAATTTGAAATAGTTCCGGTACATAATGTAGCAAAAATCATCAAAATACCGAATATCGGGGGTTACCGTTATATGGGGGCTATACGAAGACTTTGATCTGCACAGACAATTTTCTGTCACAGGCTGTAGTACTCATTGCGAACTTCAAATGCGGAATTTTAAACAATTTCAGTAAATTATGTCGCTAAAATCATCAAAATACCGAATATCGGGGGTTACCATTATATGGAGGCTATACGAAGATGTGGACCTGCACAGACAATTTTCTGTCACAGGCTGTAGTACTCATTACGAACTTCAAATGCAGAATTTGAAACAATTCCAGTAAATTATGTCGCTAAAATCATCAAAATACCGAATATCCGGAGGTACCGTTATATGGGGGCTATATGAAAACGTGGACCTAGATGCCCCATTTTCAATACCAAAAGTCCTGCAGACATGATACATATTTGAATACATTTTATCAATCTACTTCAATTCGTTCGGAAGCTAGAGTGATTTTCACAGACGGACATACGGATAGACGGGTAGACAGACAGATGGACGGACATCGCTAAATCGACATAAAATTTTATGCTGATCAAGAATATGTATACTTTGTGGGGTCTAAAATGTATATTTGGAGGTGTTACAAACGGAATGACATACTGAATATACCCTCCATACTAAAAAAATAGTAAGGAAAAGTCAAAAGTCGGGTGGGTCTGACTATATGATACCATACACCACTATGCATATTTAGTAAAGGTCCCGTAACAAAACAATTTATCTCAAGTAGATCATAGCACCTTTCAACATTTGACTTTAGAGCAGTTATAATTTGATTTCAGAGGGAACGAATATATAGGAGGATATATATAGGATATATTCTGAATCGATTTTTACTAAATCTGAGGGAGACATTATTGTCTTTCATAACAAATAACATTTCTATAGAGTGCATGATATCGCTTCGAAGGATTATATTAAAAAATATGTATAGGAGCCGAGTTCCGCCAAATGAAAAAGTAGGTCCCGAAATTCATACCATTTGAGCTGATATTAGCCACAATTTGCACAATAAACCTGAAATCGGATTAAGGATATATATGGGATCTATATCCAAATCTGAACCGATCTTGATAAAATTTGACAGAGGTAGTTCTGGGCTGTATCTGATATCTGGTACCAAATATCATTGTTGTGGAGTGCATATTAAGAATGTGAGGGACTACAATACCAAATCGGATGAAACATATGTATATATGGGAGCTATAGCTATATCTGAACCAATTTTCATTTGATTTGCTTCTAGACTGAACTCGTCGGATGTACCAAAATTCAGGAATTTTTGACAGATATTGGCTATTTGGTGCACAATTAACCCGAAATCGGTTGAATATATATATGGGAGCTCTATCCAAATCTGAACCGATCTTGATAAAATTTGACAGAGGTAGTTCTGGGCTGTATCTGATATCTGGTACCAAATATCATTGTTGTGGAGTGCATATTAAGAATGTGAGGGACTACAATACCAAATCGGATGAAACATATGTATATATGGGAGCTATAGCGATATCTGAACCGATTTTCTCCGAATTCGATATGCTTGCTTTTGGACTGATATTGGCCATTTGGTGCACAATTAACCCGAAATCTGTTGAAGATATACGGGAGCTATATGTAAAGCTGATCGGACTATCACTAATTTCAATAGGGTTCGTCCTTGGGCCAAACAAATGTTGTTTGGAAAAATTCTTCTCAATCGGATAATAAATGCGACCTGCATTTTTTTACAAGACTACATGGATAGATGGACTGACATGCATAAATCGACTCTGAAAGTGATTCTATGAAGATCCTCAAAAGTAGCTATGGGTCCATCTCACTTCCTTCTTCATGTTGCAAACAAAATGCACAACCGCTATGTGGTGTAGGGTATAAAAATGGGAATTTATCGCCTTTATTTAGGTTGCTTTGCCGTGTTGGCTTTCAAAACGCCGTTGCATGTGTGTTCTCTTTTTAGCCCTATTTTCATAATTTTTCCTCAAATTTCGAAAAAAAATAATTTTGTTGCACGGTGTAACTTTAGTTTTTATACCCTATACCACAAGGTGGTCAGGGTATTATGTCTTTGTGCATTTTTTTGTAACAGGCAAAAGGAAACGAGATAGACCCATAGTTACTTTTGAGAACCTTCATAGAATCACTTTCTGAGTCGATTTATGCATGTCAGTCCGTCTGTCCGTCCGTCCGTCCGTCCGTCTGTCCATGTATTCTTGTGAACAAAATGCAGGTCGCATTTATTATCCGATTGAGATGAAATTTTCCAAACAATATTTTTTTGGCCCAAGGACGAACCCTATTGAAATTAGTGAGAATCGGATCAAATTTAGATATAGCTCCCATATATATCTTCATCCGATTTCGGTTAAATGTGCACCAAATATTCACTATCAGTCCAAATTACCTGAATTTTGGCACACCCAACCGAGTTCGGCCTAGACGCAAGTATATCAAATTTGGAGAAAATCGGTTCAGATATAGCTATAGCTCCCATATATATCTTTCATCCGATTTGATCTTTAAGTCCCTCACATTCCTACTATGCACTCCACAACCGTGATATTTGGTACCAGGTATTAGATGGAGCACAGAAATAGCTGTTTTAAATTTTATCGAAATCGGTTCAGATTTGGATATAGCTCCCATATATATCTTCATCCGATTTCGGGTTAATTGACCACCAAATGACCAATATCAGCCCAAATGGCCCGAATTTTGGCACATGTGACCGAGATTAGCCTTAAAGCAAATACAACAAATTTGGAGAAAATCAGTTCAGAAACAGCTATAGCTCCCATATATATCTTCATCCGATTTCGGGTTAAATGTGCACCAAATGTCCCATATCAGTCCAAATTACCTGAATTTTGGCACACCTAACCGAGTTCGGCCTAGAAGCAAGTATATCAAATTTGGAGAAAATCGGTTCAGATATAGCTATAGCTCCCATATATATCTTTCATCCGATTTAGAGTTTTAGTCCCATACATTCGTAATATTCACTCCACAATCGTGATATTTGGTATCAGGTATTAGATGGAGCACAGGAATAGCTGTTTTAAATTTTATCGAAATCGGTTCAGATTTGTATATAGCTCCCATATATATCTTCATCCGATTTCGGGTTAAATGTGCAGTAAATGGTCAATATCAGCCCAAATCACCAGTCTAGAAGCTAATACGTCAAATTTGGAGAAACCCGGTACAGAGATAGCTATAGTTCGTAAAATGCACGATAGAATTAGATAGATTTTGATTTTGTACCAAATATCTCATAGAGCTCTGAAATGCCCTGTATAAACCTTTTTACGAGAGCTCTACTAAATATGCATAGTGGTGTAGGGTATCATATAGTCGGCCCCGCCCGACTTTTGAGCTTTCCTTACTGTTTTTTTTATTTATATTTTATAAAAACATCAAAATTTCGAAATTAACTGGTCAATTTTGAACAAGCTTTCACATTGGCTGGGAATTGAGTGAAGGTTGTTTCCAAAGTGTTGACGGCAGCCATGACACAATCACTGGTATCACCGGGCACCTTCTTGATGTCCTTGATCATGCTGATGACTTTCTTGACTTGTTTCTTTAACTTGTTAACCTTGCGCACCATTTGGACAAAACATTTGTGAGAAGTCTTAAGTTTGGAGACGACACCATAGCTTTCAACATCCTCAGCAGCAGCAACATCAGAATCGGTTTCCTCAGCATCATTGCTATTGCCGCAGACACTTTCGTTGATGCCCAAAATAGCTTTGCATGTCTCAATGATATCCAAACAGGCATTGACCAAATTTTGTGCCTTCTGGGAAATCTGACCACCACATGCAGCAACACTGTTAACGAAATTGTGAGCAGCATTTTCAATGGCCAACACCTCCTTGATGGTGCAGTTCAAACCCTTGACATAGCGTAAAGCCCTCTTGATGACCGTATACATGCCGGTAAAGAATCCATAGGGTTCAATTTCGGCAAGTTCATCGGCCAGGTCTTGGGCGGTGAGTTCCATGTCCTCCATAAGTTCATTTTTAAGGAAAATATCCCCCGTGGCATTGGCCTTAAGTGAAATGATATTAAATTAGAACTTTTTTCTCTTGGGAAAGGAGTACCAAAAACCAACTCACCGAAACTGCCACCAGGCAAAAGCCGGCAATTAGAGCAAATAGAGTAAATTTCATTTTATTTCTACTGACTGACCGATGTTAGTAAACTGAACGGATTATCTGTTACCTAAATTTTGAATTTTCTCACTTTTATAGCCCTTTCCCATTTGCTTGTGGGATTATCTTTTACTCGACGTGTTGACAAACAGTATTATCTTCTCCACACGACTTTGAACTATCTTCGGATTTAGAAAAACAAAGTTTAATTATATTTCGATTTTAATAAATAAGGTTAAGTATTAACAATTATTCCTATAATTTGTTGATAGATATGGGCTCTCGATAGTCCGTCCACTTGTCACTTGGTATTATCTAAAATGGGTTAATCGGCACGTACAAGTGTTCTGTTGAGTGTTTACTAATAAAAAAAAAGAACGAGTAGTGGTGATGCCTGCATACAAACGTAATCTCGAATCCGAAGTAAAGCCCTCCGCCATTTGAAAGGAATTTTAATAATTCAAAAAAATCGAAGAAAAATGCTGGGGGTCTTCAAGGCAATTTTTTTGTCATAGGCTGTAGTACCCATAGAGATCTTCAAAAACGAAATTTGAAAAAATTACGGTGAATAATGTCGCTAAAATCATCGAAATGCCGAATATAGGGAGGTACCTTTTTTTTCTGTCATAGCTTGCCGTACCTATTGCGAACTTCAAATACGAAATTTGAAAAAATTCCACACTATAATGTCTCTAAAATCATAAAATTTCTGAATATTTGGAGGTACCTTTATATGGGGGCTACACGAAGACCTGGAGCTGCATAAACATTTTTCCATCACAGGCTGTAGTACCTGTTACGAATTGCAAATACGAAATTTGAAACAATTCCGGTGAATAATGTCGCCTAAATCATTGAAATACCGAATATGGGAAGGTACCGTTATATGGTTGCTTTTCGATATCGTGCATCTATATAGACAATACTCTTCTAGGGGTTAAAATACTCAGAAGGAACTCTTTGTGTAGAATTTCTCACAATTCCAGTGGAAAATGTGGCTAAAATCATAAAAATACCGAATAACCGGAACAATATCGTGGACCGATATAGCCCATCTTCTAACTTGATTTGGCTTAACTTGATTTTAGGGACTATGCTCGGATTGACCTAAAATTTTTACCACGTGTAGATCTTTTTAACCTAATTAACCGGTTACCCGGTTATTCGACCCGGAAATTCGGATACAAACCCGGTTTTATCCGGTTCTACAAAACTGAAATGTATCTTTTCAAAGCTTATGGAAATACCTATCTAACAAGTGGTCATATGATGGGTTGCTTTCAATCGGTTCCGGAGTGCTATAAGACAATTGGTATTTTTTACCGGAACTTTTTGAAAAACCCTTTAAAAGTCGAAAATGGGCCCATAATGGTGCCATACCTATTGATATCTCTTGTGTATTAGTGTTGCAAATAATGAAATTGAGATTTTCTCCACTAATATGTATCTATCCTTTATAGTTTTGTAGTTCCGAAGATATTGACATTGAAGTCGAATTTCGGTTACTTCCAAAAGTTATAAAGTTTAGAGAAGAAGTGTGGATCGCATAGCCGGTGTGAGACATATTCCGACGGAGAAAACCTCAAAAATTACAAAATTTTGGAAAAACTATGGATCGCGTAGCCGGTTTTGGCATACCCCAGAGGAGGAAATCTCAAGCAACGTCCGAAGGTCGACTACTTACAGAAATTAGTAACTATGGTTAGTGTAGCCGGTTTTGGACATACCCCAGTAGAGAAAATCTCAAGCCACGGTCGAAGGCCAGTTACTTATAAAAATTACAATGTTTAGAATAACTGTGGATAGCGTAGCCGGTGTTGGACATATCCCAGAAGAGGAAGTCTGAAGCCACGTAAAAAAGCTTAGATACATATAAGTGGAGAAAATCTCAGGTTCATGATTTACATTCGAAAAAATCTTTGGAACAATAAGAGATATCAGCACATATCACACCCTTTTGGAAAAGCAAGAAAATAGGCTATAATTTAGCATGTGGATCGTAATACCCCATAATGGGTCAATTTTCGAGTTTTAGGGGTTTTTTCCGGAACCTGTTCCAATAACCCTATCATATGACATATGATATTGGATAGGGTATGGAAGTAAGCTTTCAAATGGTACCCATTTTGTAGATAACGATTTTGTAGAACCGGATCAAAAACAGGATGTTGTATTCGAACTTTCGGGTCAAATAACCGGGTAACCGGGTAAAAAAATAGTTTTTCCTTAATCAGATTGAAAATACCCACCTGTGATAAAAATTTCAAAATGATCCGAGCATAGCACTTAAACTCAACTTGCTCCCTTTGTTATATCTAAAATTTTTATATCGATGAGTTACAAACAGAATGACAGATTAATATACCCTCCATACTACGTGCAGTGGAGAGTATATAAATGAGTTTTGGTTTAGAGTGTAATAAATGACCGGCCTGTCTGTATTTCTCCAAAATCGATATCCTACTAGGCATTACCTAATGGAAAACGTGTCATAAAAAACAAGTTAAAACAAGTTTAAAACTTTAAATACTCTCCACTATTTGGAACGAATTTGGAAATTTTCAAAATACAAAATCCTTAAAAAATTCCGTTAAAATATTAAAAATACCGAATATAGCCGTTATATTGGGGTATATACGACGTGGACATACATAGGCATTGTTTGTCATAAGCCATTACCATATTCAAATTCGAAATTTAAAGTAAACAGTGAATAATATAGCTAAAATTATTAATATATCGTACATAGGGAGGTACAGTTATATCGGATCTGTGCGAAGACCTGGACCTGCATAGACAATTGTCTGTCATAGGCTGTAGCATCCATTACGAACTTCAAATACGACATCTCAAACAATTTTGGTGGGTATTGTACCTAAACTTGTCAAAATCCCGAAAATAGGGAGGTACTGATATATGGGGTCTATACGAAGACCTGGACCTGCATAGAAAATTTTCTGTCACAGACACAGTTCCCATTACGAACTCTAAATACGTAATTTAAAACAATTCCGGTGAATAATGACGCTAAAATCATCAAAATACCGAATATTGGGAGGTACCGTTATATTGGGGCTATACGAAGACGTGGACCTACGCAGACAATTTTCTGTCATAGGCTGTAGTATCCATTTCGAACTTCAAATACCAAATTTGAAACAATTCCGGTGAATAGTGCCGCTAAAATCATCAAAATACCGAATATCGGGAGGTACCGTTATATGGGGGCTATATGAAAACCTGGACCTACATGGACCATTTACGAACTTAACCTGCCTATTGGAAAAATAAACATTTGTGCAAAATTTTAGCCATCTATCTCAATTCGTTCGAAAGCTAGCGTGATTACAACAGACAGACAGACGGATGGACAGACAGACGGACGGACATCGCTAAATCGACTTAGAATTTTACGCTGATCAAGAATATATATACTGTGTTGAATCTGACATGAGTAATTCGAGGAGTTACAAACGGAATGACAAAGTTAGTATACCTTCCATAGTATTGTGGAGGGTATAAAAATATGTCGGAATTATTTTTATTTTATATTTTTGGGCAAAAAAATTGGTTAAAGCGTGGTCCCATTTCGATCCATTAAATGGCGATCACTATCGTTTGTGACAGTGCTCAAGTTTTCAAGTGTGTCCAATATTATTTAAAATGCAAAAATTGTTTATTTCCACTCGATGATATTTTATTCGAAGTTCAAAAAAAAAAAAAAAAAATAATAATAATAATAATAAGCTGACGCTGCCTGTTAAATTCCATAATCCAAATTCGCGAGACACGATAAGATCCCCCCATGTGTCTACAAGTGTTTCATAGTTTCAAAATTTTGTGAGGACAGACGCACCTATCTAGCTCGTTTTTATAGCCTACACCACAAGGTGGTCAGGGTATTATGTCTTTGTGCATTTGTTTGTAACAGGCAAAAGGAAACGAGATAGACCCATAGTTCCTTTTGATGATCTGCATAGAATCACATTCTGAGTCGATTTATGCATGTCCGTCCGTCTGTCCATGTATTTTTGTAAACAAAGTACAGTTCGCATTTATTGCTCCATCCAGATGAAATTTTGCACAAATCATTTGTTTGGCCCAAGGACGAACCCTATTGAAATTGAAGATAATCGGTCAAAATTTGGATATAGCTCCCATATATATCTTCGTCCGATTTGCCTTTTATTGTGCACCAAACGTGTAATATCAGCCCGAATAGTATGGAATTTTGCACGTACGATCAGATTGGACCTCAAAATAAGTATGCTAAATTTAATCGAAATCGGTTCAGATATAGCTATAGCTCCCATATATATTGTTCATCCGATTTATTGTATTTGTTACCCACAGCCGTAATATGCACTCCGTAACAACGATATTCAGGGAAATATATCAAATACAGCTCAGAAATATCTTTGCCAAATTTTATCGAGATCGGTTCCGATTTGGATATAGCTCCCTTATATATCTTTATCCGATTTCAAATTAATTGTGCTCCAAATGCGCAATACTAGTCCGAATTTAAAAGATACAAATGCTTCGGCATATTTTGTCTTTTAAATTATAATTATAATATAGCGTGTATGATTGAATTCTCCCATAAAAACTTTTAATTGTTATGCGCAGCTCTACTAAATTAGCAAAGTGGTGTAGGGTATCACAAAGTCGGCCCCGTCCGACTTTAAGACTTTCTTTACTGGTTAGGTATTATCACTTTCATTACATGGTGCCTACATGGGCTCTTATTCGAAATTTAAAGATAATACGGCCTCATGTCTCATAATTTTAGAATATTAATATTCTGAAGAGCATAGGAAAATATGTTTTTTTTTTTATATTGGATCTGGCATATGTTATTAAGGAGTCTTCAAATTAATAAAATCTTAAAAAAAATCGCATATATAATTTTTCTAACAACAATTACAATTAATTATAGGATGTAAAATTAATTATAGAAAGTAATATTTATAATAGGAATTAAATTACTCATAGAATTCACAATTATTTAACTTATTTTTAATTGTCGTATTCTGATAAGGAAATTCTAAATTTTCCATCCTTTACCGTTTCTATGATATCCGAATAAATAAATTAAGTCCCAGTACATTTGTCCCCAAAATTGACTCAAATTTTGTTTTTCATTGTTTTTTTTTTAAATATTCGATAAGTCGCCATTGGAAATACGCAGCCATATTTTGCCATCTCATGTTGCACAAACCCAGATAATTTTATTGTTTTGCGAATTTAGGAACATATTGTCATCGATTTTAATTCAAAAATGCAAAATCAGAAAGAGATTAATTGAAGATTTTTGGTTTCAAAGGGTATTTATGAACACAGCTGAAACCTTGAGTTTGGTCGAGTGAGGTATACGATAAGCGCAATCTCAGAGTCCATGAATTTTTTTTTTAAAGAAAACAAGTTAAAAAGCTGTAAGTTCGGCCGGGCCGAACTTTTAATACCCTCCACCATTTGGTACAAATTTGGAAATTTCCAAAAAAAAAAAAAAAAAAAAAAAATAAATAAATAAAATAAAATCCTTTAAAATCTTAAAAATACCGAATGCTTATACGACGACGTGGACCTATATGGCCCATTTTCTGTTTTATGCTGCAGTATCTATTACGAACTTCAAATGCCAAATTTGGAACGATTCCGCTAAATAATGTCGTTAAAATCATCCAAATACCGTATATCAGTGGGGGGGTACCGTTATATGGGGGCTACACGAAGACGTGGACCTGCACAGATAATTTTCTGTCTTAGGCTGTAGTATCCATTACGAACTTCAAATGCCAAATTTGAACCAATTCCGGTGAATAATGTCGCTAAAATCATCAAAATACCGAATATCGGGAGGTAGCGTTATATGGGGGCTATATGATAGATTGGACCTACATGGCCCATTTACGAACTTAACCTGCCTACTGGCAAAATATACATGTGTGCAAAATTTTAGCCTTCTATCTCAATTTGTTCGAAAGATAGCGTGATTACAACAGACAGGCAGACGGACATTTCTAAATCGTCTTAGAATTTTACGCTGATCAAGAATAAATATACTTTGTTGGGTCTGACATGAGTATTTCGAGGAGTTACAAACGGAATGACAAAATTAATATACCCTCCATAGTATGGTGGAGGGTATAAAAACAATGGGAAATAGAATCCAAAATATAAACAAAGCAATGGTTACACTGTGCAACACAAAAAAATAATTACGGGGAAAATCATGAAGATTATGAAAGTTGAGGTAAAAATAGAATACGCATGTATCGGAGTTTTAAAAGTAACATTGCAAAAAAATGGGGTCACATTCCCTCTCCCTCTTCCCCTTCTTCTTTATATGAGCTTATGCAAAATACTCCTACAATCCATCATTTCCGAAGGATGACGTCGAGGACAAAAATATTTTTCATAAAATTTCACTATCAGTCACAAAAAAAAAAAACAAGTAAGCAAAGGCTACAGTCGAGCGGGGCCGACCGTTGAATACCCTACAACACTATAATAAACGATACAGTTTATATAGGCCAGATACTTGAAAGTATTCCGCAAGATATTGTGACAAATAATAAAAGAAAACCGTCAGGTTTCGTTCTCTAATTTTGGAATAATAGCAACTTTAACGAATTTGCTCATTTCCAATTTATTGGAAGATGTTGCAAGTAAATGGTCTTCCTAGATCTGGAACCAATATTTCCCAAAACCTATAATCTCTCAGAAGTGGCAAAAGATTAACATTTATTATTGGTTTTTGACTGAACGAAATCAGCGTTAACGAAATAGTCAGAAGTGCGTCTTTCCTGTATTTGTGAATTCTCCAAAAAGTTGGCAAACTATTTCACACAGTGAATATTTTTGGATGGCCATCCAAAACTGCTTGGCTTTTGTAATGTCCGATAACTCCCTTCAAATGTGCGTGAGGATCGGGCAATAATTACGACCTGTTGACAAATTTTGCAGTTTTTTGGTCCATTTCAACCCCTAAATATATGGCGATCATCTCCAAAAAGAGTAGGCTTCTATTCTGACCCTCATCTTATCCCCATGCAAAATTTCGTAAGGATCGGGCCATAAATGCGATCTGTATATGATATCCTGATATCCTAACTACTTAGTTTTGTTAGCTGTAGAAATATTACCAAATGTTTAATTCAAAATGAAAATATGCCAAAAATATGACAAAATTGAAAAAATATGAGAAAATTTTACAAAATCCATATTTTCATCTTTAGAGAGATATTTTTATGCGGTTTTTTAGGCGTTTTTTCTTTCCTGCCAAGAGGCCATTCTGAATTAATGAGAACTGTCGAAATCAATTCAGCCGTTCTCGACATATAAGAGATCTTTCAAGCATGTCCTCTTTGATAGACATATATATCGCACATATTTTGCTATATATCCGATTTGTTGGATGTTAACATCAATGTAGAGATCAGAAGTAGCCTTGTCATGGCTTTGTGATTTAGCCGGGATTTCAAATACTCGCGGTTTAATGAAAAATTTTGAATTTTTTCAACACAAAAGATATGGTTTATTTTACCCGCTAAATATTATCCGATGACCACCCAAATTGGTAGGCTTCTTCCCTGCCCTAAACTCTAGCTACATGCGAAATTCCGCGTCGATTGGTCTATAATTGCGACCTGTATAGCTACTGCAAAATCCGACATTTTTTCAGTATTTGGTCCATTTCAACCCCTAAACATTTGGCGATCATCTCCAAAAGAAATAGGGTTCTATTCTGACCTCAACCCCACCTACATTCTAAATTTCGTGAAGATCGGGCCATAATTGCGACCTGTAGATTGATTACAAATTAACATGGACAGACGGACAGACGGACGGACGGACATACATAGCTAGATCGACTCAACTCGGCGAGCTAGGAAGATCCATATCTACTTTCCTATGTGGGAAACCAATATTTCGAGGTGTTACATAAATTTTGGCCCAATCAAACTTATAATACCCCCAACACATAGTGTTGTAGGGTATAATGACAAACAAAAGTTTGAAAAATTCAAAAAGTTGGTTTCAAAATTATATTCCACAGACTTTCCCAATTAATTGCATATTGCCCAATCGGTTTAAATCGCTTAATATTGCTAACGATGTTGTTACGATATCATAACAACAGAGGTATTTTCACAGGGTTGCCATATCTTGACTATGTCTTGTCCCATCTTTATATTTCTACGTCTATAAAATATTTAATATTCCCTAATTTTTATCGATCTCTTCCCGGTCTTTTTTCGATTTAATGCATGAATATGACATAAACTTTAGGCGGAATTTATCAAAGGAAGAACTATTTAGTACAAAATTTCGATATAAGTTTCAGAATAAACCATAAGTCTAAGTTTAATAGTTTTTAAGAAAAAATTATTCGAAATTTATATACTACAATTGAAAATTACGTGTCCTCCACCATAGTATGGAGGGTATATTAAGTTTGTCGTTCCGTTTGTAACACCTCGAAATATACATTTTAGACCCCACTAAGTATATATATTCTTGATCAGCATAAAATTTTATGTCGATATAGCGATGTCCGTCCGCATGTCCGTTTGTGGAAATCATTCTGGCTTCCGAACGGATGCAGAACTTTTGGTATCGAAAATGGTCGGTATTTTGGTGTTTTAAGCGACTCTATTCACCAAAAATGTTTTAAATTTGGTATTTGAAGTTCGTAATATGTACTACAGCCTATGACAGAAAAAATCTGTGCAAGTCCATGCCTTCGTATAGCCCCCATATAACAGCACCTCCAGATATTCGGTATTTTGATGATTTTATTTTTTTCACAGTAATTGTTTCATATTTGGTTTTTGAATTTGATAAGGGATATTATAGCCTATGACAGGAAATTGTCTGTACAGGACCACGTCTTCGTATAGCCCTAATATAACGGTACCTCCCGAACTACAGTCTGTGACAAAAAATTGTCTATGCAGGTCCAGGTCTTCATATTGGCCCCATATATCAGTACCTCCCTATATTCGGCATTTTGACAATTTTATAGAACAATACTCATCGAAATTGTTTGAGATGTCGTATTTGAAGTTCGTAATGGATGCTACAGCCTGTAACAGAATATTGTCTATGCAGGTGCAGGTCTTCGTATAGCTCCGATATAACGGTACATCCCTTTATACGGTATTTTTATGATTTTAGCTACATTATTCGCCGTTTATTTCAAGTTTCGAATTTCAATATGGTAATGGCTTATGACAAACAATGCCTATGTAGGTCCACGTCGTATAGACCCCAATATAACGGCTATATTCCGTATTTTTTAAATTTAAACAATTTTTTTAAGGATTTTATTTTTTGATAATTTCCAAATTCGTTCCAAATGGTGGAGGGTATTCAAAGTTCGGCCCGGCTGAACTTACTGCTTATTAACTTGTTTTTGAATTTACAAGTTGTTGAATAAAAATAAAATTTCATGTTAATTATCGTCGAGATTTTTTTTAATCAAGGTTTAAAGCCTTTTTTCTCGTTGAGTTTTTTTTTTTTTTTAAATCTACGTTTATGGCTCTGATAGTTGTTAAGGAAATATTTTTGAACAATCCACGTTTTATAGCTCTGATAGTCACTGACATAATTTTTAAAAAATCTTTAAATAAAGTTCTCTGTTTGACAATGCTTCCACTGTGTAAGCAATGATAACATTCGCTGCCACCTTCCAAACCCTTATTGTTGTAATAATTTCAATTTTTTTAAACTAATTTTGAGTGCTCACGTGTCCTATCAGGGGGTGATAATCACACTTGATCAAGTGTCCAAGAATAATTATCTCTTTAGATAGGATTCTCTATGCTTATCGTATGAAGGTAAATAGCTGAAATATGTTGAATGTTTGGCTATAAATATGAAAATCCGCAGCTATACAAGTCATTCGATTTGAAAAATTTAGACAAGGAAATTTTCGTTTTAATCAAAATGAAATTGGCTTTGATTGCCTTTGTGGCTGGGCTTTGCCTGGTGGCTGTTAATGTAAGTATTCGAATAGGTCCTACTTGTAAAAGATGTGAAGATAAGCCCAATTTTATTTTTTCGTTCTAGGCCAATGCTGAACTCGCCGCACCCATGGAGGAACTGAACTACGAATACATTGCCAACGACATTGCTGATGATGTTGTGGACATTGAGGCTCAGATCTCCTGGTTCGGTATTTACTTTGTCATTCACAAGGCTCTGACCACATTGAAGGGTGTCAAGTGTACCGTCAAAGAGGTCTATGCCATCCGCGATGCTGCCCAGACCTTCCTCAATGATGTTCAGGCCTGTGGCGGAGAAGTCTCCAAGAAACTTCAAAGCCTGATCAACACCTGCAAGAATATTTTGTCAACTGCCAATGATATTATTCATGTCAATGAGAATATTTGTGGTAATGCCAGCACCGATAGCAGCGATGGTGATTCGAATGATGTTACAGCCGAAACTTTGTCCGTCAAGACCGGTTGGAATTGTTTCTGGAAATTGTTGTTCAAGACAATGTCGTTGAAGAATCAAGTGAGACATGCCATCTATTTGATTAAGCACATCCCTGCCGTTCCCGGTGAGGCTGGCGATTGTATCAATACTGCCCTTAGCAACTTGGCTAGTGTTTTCAATCAATTTCCCAGCAATGTAAAGACTTGCTCCAAATTATTTAGCAAAAATTAGATTTTATGAAGATGTTTAAAAATAAATGAACAAAATATGAAATTTATTTAAAAATTAAATTTCTCGATAGCCATGTGAACTTTTGGGCGCCATTTCATTGTCTGTATGTATAAGAGCTTAGGAGTGGAATATTTAAAAAAAAATAAAATTGTCTGCAACAATCGGGGCAAAAAGCGTTATTTCGTACAATTAGATAATGATCGGTTGGGCGCCATTTCAATACCAGCTTGAATCAGAGTCATAAGCTTGGTTTTTTTAAATTATTCCTTAGGGATTATCAGAGCTTTAAATACGGACTTTTTGAAAATATTGTTTAGGCGATGGACTTTTGGGCGCCATTTCATTACCTGCTTGTATCGGAGCCATAAGCGTGGATTTTTTAAACTTTTTTTCTTGGCGACTGTCAGAGCCAAAACTGTAGATTTTTTAAAATATTTTCTCAGCGACCATCACCGCCATAAATGCAGATTTTTAAAATATTTTTTCAACGTCTATCAGAGTCAAGATCGTGGATATATATTTATAGCGGTACGAATTATGTGTGAAGTAGATCAAAATACTAGATGTGTAAACCAGAACTTTAAAAGTGGAATTTTTTAAAAATATTTTCCCAATGATTGTAAAAGCCATAAACGTGGATTTTTTTAATATTTGCTCAACGATTATCAGAGCCTTAAACGTGGATTTTTATAATATTTTTTCAACGATTATCATAGTCTTAAACGTGGATTTTGTAAAAATATTTTCCTAACGATTATCAGAGCCTTAAACGTGGATTTTTAAAAAATATTTTCTCAATAGCTGTCCAATGCATAAAAGTGGATTTTTTAAAAATATTTTCTCAATAGCTGTCCAAGGCATAAACGTGGATTTTTAAAAAATATTTTCTCAATAGTTTTCCAAGGCATAAACGTGGATTTTTAAAAAACATTTTCAGAATAGTCTTAAAGGCATAAACGTGGATTTTTAAAAAACATTTTCAGAATAGTCTTAAAGGCATAAACGTGGATTTTTTAAAAATATTTTCTCAATGGCGGTATAAGTCATTTAAAAAAAATCCCAATAGCTGTCAAAGGCATAAACGTTGATTTTTTAAAAATATTTTCTCAATGGCGGTCTAAGTCATAAACGTGGATTTAAAAAAAAATCCCAATAGCTGTCAAAGGCATAAGTGGATTTTTTAAAAATATTTTCTCAATAGCTGTCCAAGGCATAAACGTGGATTTTTTAAAAAAATATTTTCTCAATAGCTGTCCAAGGCATAAATGTGTATTTTTTAAAAATATTTTCTCAATAGCTGTCCAAGGCATAAACGTGGATTTTTAAAAAACCTTTTCAGAATAGCTCTCAAAGGCATAAACGTGGATTTTTTAAAAATATTTTCTCAATAGTTTTCCAAGGCATCAACGTAGATTATTTAAAAATATTTTCTCAATAGGTGTCCAAGGAATAAACGTGGATTTTTAAAAAGCATTTTCAGAATAGCTCTCAAAGGCATAAACGTGGATTTCTTAAAAATATTTTCTCAATGGCGGTCTAAGGCATAAAAGTGGATTTTTTAAAAATATTTTCTCAATAGCTGTCCAAGGAATAAACGTGGATTTTTTAAAAACATTTTAGGAATATCTCTCAAACGTGGATTTGTTAAAAAATATTTTCTCAATAGCTGTCAAAGGCATAAACGTGGATTATTCTAAAAATATTTTCTCAATGGCTGTCTAAGGCATAAACGTGGATTTTTTAAAAAATATTTTTTCAACAGCTGTCAAAGGCATAAACGTGGATTATTCTAAAAATATTTTCTCAATGGCTGTCTAAGGCATAAACGTGGATTTTTTAAAAAATATTTTTTCAATAGCTATCCAAGGCATAAAAGCGGAATTTTTAAAAATATTTTCTCAATAGCTATCCAAGGCATAAAAGCGGAATTTTTAAAAATATTTTCTCAATAGCTGTCAAAGGCATAAAAGCGGATTTTTTAAAAAATTTTTTTAAAAATATTTTCTCAATAGCTGTCCAAGGCATAAACGTGGATTTTTTTTAAAATATTATCTCAATAGCTGTCAAAGGCATAAACGTGAATTTTTTAAAAATATTTTCTGAATAGCTGTCCAAGGAATAAACGTGAATTTTTTAAAAATATTTTCTCAATAGCTGTCCAAGGTATAAACGTGGATTTTTTTAAAAATATTTTCTCAATAGCTGTCCGAGGAATAAACGTGGATTTTTTAAAAACATTTTCAGAATATCTCCCAAACAGGGATTTTTTAAAAAATATTTTCTCAACAGCTGTCAAAGGCATGAACGTGGATTATTCAAAAAATATTTTCTCAATGGCTGCCTAAGGCATAAACGTGGATTTTTAAAAAATATTTTCTCAATGGCGGTCTAAGGCATAAACGTGGATTTTTTAATAATATTTTCTCAATAGCTATCCAAGGCATAAACGTGGATTTTTTAAAAACATTTTCTCAATGGCGGTCTAAGGCTTAAACATGGATTTTTTAAAAAATATTTTCTCAATAGCTGTCAAAGGCATAAACGTGAATTTAAAAAAATTCCATTAGCTGTCAAAGGCATAGACGTGGATTTTTAAAAAATATTTTCTCAATGGCGGTCTAAGGCTTAAACGTGGATTTTTTTAAAAAATATTTTCTCAATGGCGGTCTAAGGCTTAAACGTGAATTTTTTTAAAAAATATTTTCTCAATAGCTGTCCAAGACATAAACGTAGATTTTTTAAACATATTTTCTCAATGGCGGTATAAGTCATTTAAAAAAATCCCAATAGCTGTCAAAGGCATAAACATTGATTTTTTAAAAATATTTTCTTAATAGCTATCCAAGGCATAAACGCAGATTTTTTAAAAATATTTTCTCAATGGTGGTCTAAGGCATAAACGGGGATTTTTTAAAAATATTTTCTCAATAGCTGTCCAAGTCATAAACGTGGATTTTTTTAAAAAAAAATTTTCTCAATACCTTTCCAAGGCATACACGTGGATTTTTTTAAAAAATATTTTCTCAATAGCTGTCCAAGGCATAAACTTGGACTTTTTTAAAAAAAATATTCCAATAGCTGTCAAAGGCATAGACGTGAATTTAAAAAAAATCCCAATAGCTGTCAAAGGCATAAACGTGGATTTTTTTAAAAAAAAAAAGTACCAATAGTTGTCAGAGCCATAAATGTGGATTTTTTAACTGTTACTTTGTGTAACTTAACATTTTTTTTGTGTAAATCAGTGCTATAAGCATAGATTTTTGAATCGTGGATTATTTAAATTAGGTAATAAACGGATTTATTGTTGTTTCATAGTTTGTGTGAATAAGACCCGTAAGTGCGAATTTTTAGAACAATATTTGTTTATATTTATATCTCGTTGTTGAGATTTGAAGGTGATTTTTGTAAGCTTTTAAGTATGGGTGTAAGTGTGGGTGTCTCGAATCTTCCATGAATGCCTGAGAAGTATTGCTATCAGCTTAGATCCAATTCGAGTGAGATATTGCAGCAATCGGTTCAACCCTACAATTATGCAGTCCATCAAATACAAATCTCATCAACTTTTTCAGTTAGTTAAATGGCGCCCAACATGAAATATTTTTAATTGTTCAGTATTTAGGTTATCCTGATAAACATTCCGTTACCAAAAGCGTCAGAAAAGATCCATGGTAGAAGCCAAGACACTTGCAAACACAGTGGCGCCCAAAGTAATAAAATAGTCAAATATCGTAACATTTTTCTTTCATTGATCATACTATTTATTTCAGAATTTCTTAATTGCTGGTCAACTTCGAGCAAGCCTTAACATTACTGGGGAATTGAGTGAAAACATTGGACAAAGTGCTGAGGGCATTGTTGACACACACGCCTGTGTCACCGGGCACCGAGGGTATTTGTTTGATCAAATAGATGGCATGTTTCACCTGGTTCTTCAACGACATTGTCTTGAACAACAATTTCCAGAAGCAATTCCAACCGGTCTTGACGGACAAGGCATCGGCAGCAACATCACTACCATCATCACCAGGAGTGGTGTTACCGCAAATATTCTCATTAACATGGATAATATCATTGGCAGTTGAGACGATATTCTTGCAGGTGTCGATCAAATTTTGCAATTTCTTTGACACTTCACCGCCACAGGCCTTAACGTCATTCAAAAAGTTTTGGGCAGCAGTGCGAATGGCAAGGACTTCTTTGATGGTACAATTTACACCTTTCAATGTGGTCAAAACTTTGTGGATGACAAAGTAGATGCCGAACCAAGAGACCTGGGCATCAATGTCCACAACATCATCGGCTATGTCCTTGGCAATGTATTCGAAATCGATTTCTTCCATGGGAGCGGGTAATTCCACATTGGCCTAGGCAATAATAGAGAGGGAGAGAGAGACATAGAAAGTAAGGAATTATTTTCATATTTAAGGTTAGATCCCACAAAACTTACATTAACAGCCACCAGACATAGCCCAGCCACCAAAGCAATCAAAGCCAATTTCATTTTCTTTAAATTTTTTTCAATTACAAATTTTCACTCTAACTTCCGCAAGTGAATATCTGAAATACGATTGGACTCTCATATTTATAGGCGGCCCGGTTAAAATTGTTTGCAAAAATATTGCCGAAAGATAATTTTTCGTCTGACTAATGCCGAAATTTTTCCATGTCCTATCAACTGTGATAAACTGAAGAAAAAATTGCGTGTTTTGTTGTTGTGTTATTTTTAATATTTTTTATTCTTTAAATATTTGAATTGGCACTTGTTGTCAAAACAATGCCAGTAGATAATCCATTTCAGCTGCGTGGGGTACTTTGACTCTTTAAGACAAAAACAAATCAATTGTTTTGCAACAACAACAAGTGTAAGGGCTAAATTGAATCTTATCTACTCCCCTGGTTGGCAGAGAAAATACCCAGGCGAAAAAAGGTTAGAATACCCAGCAAAGTGAACTGAGTTAATGAAGCATTGAGTGAATATTCAATTCTAAATCCCCTCATGGGTTACACCTAAAACACTGCGTAACAAAAATGCATATTACAGAAAAACTCAGTAGATTCTAATGATAAAGCTGAAAAGAGAAGACGAGTGTGTCGAACTTTTGAAAGTGGAGGATTTTTTTCCCAATCTTTGCGAGTCATAATATTTTTTTCCGAAGAGAAAACATTCGTTGTCCAGCAGTTTGTAAACAAACAAAATGATCGTAGAGGTCAGCAGAAAATGTGCACCTTCGGTTGGTCACCAGAACTCAAGCGCCGGTCATGGTGATGGTGTGGGCCGCCATAACAGCCGATGGTCGATTTCCGCTCGTATTAATCGACCATGGCATCAGAATAAATGCCGAATATTATCGCGAAAATATTCTGGAGGGTGTGCAGCATCGCACTCAGCACGCGCCACCCAAGAATGGTTACAGAATGATGTTCCTCGCTTCATTACCAGCGCACAATGGCCACCAAAATCTTCGGATACCAATCCGTTGGACTATTGTGTCTGGAGTATTTTGGAAAGCAAGGTTGGAACTAAAAAATACCAAAGTGTCGATCACCTCAAGCAAGTGCTTCGCCGGGAATGGGCCAAAATACAGCAGAGCAACATTCGGGCAGCGTGTGACGGTTTCATTGGCCGTTTGAAGGCCATAATTCGTGCCAAAGGTGACGAATTCGAACAAATCTAAACTTATTCTAAAATTTGATGCTATTTCCGACATTTTTTGCTTTCATTCGATAAAATTTTATAAAATTCTAAAAATTATGGCGTTTGTCTTTGTTACATTTTTTTACCTCACCCTGTATATGTGAGAGCCATAGCTATATCTGTACCGAGTTTCCTCAATTTTGATGTACCTACTTCTAGACTGAATTTGTTCGGAATTGCCAAAATATACTCCATTTGGACTGATATTAACCATCTGGTGCACAATAAATGTATAATCTGTCGAAAATATGTATATATTGAAGCTATATCCAAATCTGAGCCGATCTAGGTAAAAATTGGCAAAGGTATATCCGCGCTCTATAAGATATCTGGTACCAAATATCCATCTCGTGGATTGCATATTGCGAATGTAAGGGACTTAAAACCCAAATCGGATGAAATATCAATACGGGAGCTAAAGCTATATCTAAACCGATTTTCTCCAAAATTTTATGTACTTACTTCTATATTCGGTCTTGCTAGAATTCGGTCGTATGTATCAAAATTCAGGTCATTTGGACTGATATTGGCCATTTGGTGTACAATTAACTCGAAATCGGTTGGATATTGATATGGATGCTATATCCAAATCTGAAACGATATTGATAAAATTTGGCAGAGGTATTTCAGGGCTGTATCTGACATCTGGTACCAAATATCATTTTTCTGAGGTACCTATTACGAATGTGAGGGAGCTATATCTATATCTGAACCAATTTTCATCAAATATGAAGTACTTGCTTTTAGACTGAATTTGGTCGGATGTACCGAAATTCAGGTCATTTGGCCTGATATTGGTCATTTGGTGTACAATTAACTCGTAATCGGTTGAAGATATATACAGGAGCCTAAGGCCAAGCAAACATTGTCTGGAAATTATCATCTCAATCGGATAATAAATGCGACGTGCATTTTGTTCACAAGATGCATGGACATACGGACGGACAGGTGGACTGACATGCATAAATCGATTCTGAAAGTGTTTCTATGAATTTCCTCAAAAATAACTACGGGTCTATCTCGATTCTTTCTCCATATTGCAAACAAATGCAGATATAAAAATCTAAGTTTCTTGGATTTGCACAACTTCAATTTTTTTAACGGATTTCAATATTTTTTTCTTTGAATGGTTCGAGAGTATATTTACAGTGGTTTAATTGTGAAAAAATGGAAAACGATTTTCTTTGTTCTCTACACCACAAAGCTGATACCAGACAGTAGTATTATTTACTTTGCTAGTCTTTAAAAAATCATTAAGATCGGATGAGTAATAAACGAGTTATAGTTTTTTATGGCTCAATAGTTTTGTTCTTTTTATAAAAATGACCTGACAGCTCAAAATATGAATATCAAGTCGATCACTTTCATAAGTCTTGAACCGATTAAGTTCTATCTCTTAAGTCTTGCAACAGCTTCCCAATGTTTTTTTTTTTTTTTTTTTAAGGCTTAAGTTAATAACGGAATCTCTGGTTCCTGTCTCATGTTGGGCGCCATTTCGTTTAGTTTCATAGTAAATAACAAGTGGCTTCTTTCGTTTTTATAAATTCCATTTATTAATATATGAAGTACATACATAAATTAAACATATAACAAATAACAAAAAGTATATTTTATAGAGTAAAAATGAAAATAAAAAAAACTTCATTCGCATGGAAAATAATTAAATGAAATTTTAGCAAAAAAAAAAAAAAATATATAAAAAATACCTTTGAGCATATTTTTAAATTCTGTTTCGTTCTATTTATTTTTTGATCATTTTGTTTTTTAATATTAAAAACAGCACCCTGTTTTTGATTTACTATATCATTTATTATTGGGTTCATGTGTACTTACTATACTAAATATTAAAAAAAATAAAAAGAAGTAGATATTGCACCAAAATGTAAAAGATAATCTCAGCAGTTTCTAGCTGCCCCTGCTGGGATTATGTAGATATTATATATAAATAAAAAATAATATTTAATACAAATTATAGTTGTTTCATTTTCTTTATCTCCTTTTTTAAGGACTTTACTTATTTTGTTTTAAAGCAATTACAATTAATAAAAAATAATAATTTTTAAACTTGCATTTAACTATGTCAAATAAATTACATTACTCACTTTCTTTTTTCATTGATATTGGAACAAGTTATGGAAATATAAACATAAAATGATAATTAAAAATAAAATGCATTGCAAAAATATTAAATAATAATAATAATAAAAATGATAATAACAGTAATGTTGTTCTTGATGTTTTCTTCTAACATTTTAGTTTTTTCCACTAATTTATATAGCCTAATTAATAATTGCCTCTCTTAGGAGGAGTTAATAAGCTGACCGCTTTGTGCCTCTGCCATTCTCTTTATATTTCTCTCTTTCTTTCTCTTAAATTAAACTCAGTCTGCTGTTGGTTTTTCTCAATTGAGCACGCCATGGTATTATGTTTTCATTATCTTCTTCCTCATGTTGTTGCTGTTGTTGGTGCTGCTGCTGTTGCTGTTGTTGCTGCTGCTGCTGAGATTCACCGTTGTGTTGCAGAGCGCTATCTCCATTCATGGATTTATTCTCTCCACCATGACCATTCTGAGAGTAACCATAGCCATTGCTAGTGGCGTTTTCCTTATTGGTGTGACTCGAAACAATCTCTGTGGCACACGAAACCATCGAAATGTTATCGATAGACATGGCCCGATTTTTGAGACGCCATGTATCGGCCACACGATTATTCTCTTCTACTTTGGGCGTGTAAACTGCAGCTCTGTAGGGGGAAAAAGATAAAAGAAAGAGATAACGTTAAAAAAAATTGTCATTATTTTGGTAACAGTTGCGTTGAAAGTTTGTAAAATAACCAGCTAATGTCGGTTGTAACTGTTTAGATTGGGCGCCATTTATAATTTTGGACACTATTGCAATATGATGAAGTCATTGCAAAGTTTGAAAATTTAATAAGGACGCTATTGTGTTTGGCCGCCATTTAGACTATTTTAAATATACCAAATCACCGAGTTAATTTTATGTTTTCTTACGACTTAAATGTGATTGGGCGCCATTTATAATATCATAATGTCTTGTTGTATATGCTAGTTAAATGTCTCCGTCAAATTTTGAAAGATAATCGGGACGGTAGCGCAATTGAGGGCTATATAAAATTTATTTTCAGGGCGTCATTATTTTCTTTTTTTTTTTTTTTCTGAAAAGTTTTTTTCTGTCTTTTCGGCACAAAAGTGTGATTGGGGGCCATTTATAGGTGTTAAGGATATTATGTCTTTGTGCATTTGTTTGTAACATGGAGGAGGGAGCGAGATAGACCCATAGATAATTTTCAGGATCTTCATGGAATCACTTTCTGAGTCGATTTATGCATGTCAGTCCGTTTGTTCGTCCGTCCGTCTGTCCACGTATTTTTGTGAACAAAATGCACATCGCATTTATCATCCGATTAAGATGAAATTTTCCAAACAATATTTGTTTGGCCCAAGGACAAACCCAATTGAAATTGGAGATAATCGGTCAAAAATTAGATATAGCTCCCATTTATATCTTCGTCCGATTTGCCTTTTATTGTGCATCAAACATGGAATATCAGTCCCGTGGAATTTTACACATACGACCAAATTAGGCCTGAAAATAAGTATGCCAAATTTGATCGAAATCGGTTCAGATATAGCTATAGCTCCCATATATGTTGTTCATCCGATTTGTTATTTTTGTCCTCCGCAGCCGTAATATGCACTCTGTAACAATGATATTTGCGGAAATATATCAAATGCAGCTCAGAAATACCTTAGCTAAATTTTATCGAGATCGGTTCCGATTTGGACGGATATAGCTGACATATATTACTTCTTCCGATTTGCTTTTTATTGTGCACTAAACGCTAAATATCCGACCAAATGGGATGGAATTTGGCACATACGACCAACAGAAACAAGTATGTAAAATTTGGTTAAAATCGGTTCAGATTTAGCTATAGCTCCCATATATATGTTTCATCCGATTAGGGGTTTTAAGTCCCTCACATGAGTAATATGCACTCCACGAGAATGATATTTGGTACCAGATATCAGATACGGCCCAGAAATACCTCTACCAAATTTTATCGAGATCGTATCATATATAGATATGGCTCCCATATGCACCTTTATCCGATATCAAGTTTATTGTGCACCATATGACCTGAATTTTGGCATATCCGACCAAATGCAGCCTAGAAGCACGTAAATCAAATTTGGTGAAAATCGGGTCCGATATACCTATAGTTCTAATATATATGTTTCATCCGATTTGGTGTTTAAGTCCTTCATATTCGTGAGGCAACAACAATGTTTGGTACCAGATATCAGATACTGCCCAGAAATACCTCTGATAAATTTTATCGAGATCGGTTCATTCGGTTCGGGTTAATTGTACACCAACTAGCCAATATCAGTCCAAATGACCTGAATTTTGGCATATCCGACCAAATTCAGTCTAGAAGCAAGTACATAAAATTTGGTGAAAATCAACCATATATATCCTTAATTTGATTGCAGGTTTATTGGGCAGATAATGGCTAATGTCAGCCCAAATGGAGTAATTTTTTGGACGTACGTTTCCACTTTGTTTATCTCGGTTCCGATATTTATTTATTTTTTTTTTTGAATGTAACCCTTCTCGAAGTAATATTATGAACTCTATAGCAATGTTATTTGGTATAAAAGATAAAAATTTTTCCGCCAAATTTAGTGAAAATCGATTCAGAATTGTATATGCCTCCCATATATTAGTTCCCTCTGAAACCAAACTATAAGTGCTCTAAAGCCAAATGTTGATAGGTGGTATGATCTACTTCAAATAAATTTTTTTGTTACGGGAGCTCTACTAAATATGCATAGTGGGGGAGGGTATCATATAGTCGGCCCCATCCGACTTTTGATTTTTCCTTACTGGTTTAATATTGAACATTTTAATAAGCTTCTTCTGTATTTTATACGATTTTAATCGAAATGGGGTCCCTAGTTTGATTGGGCGCCATTTCATGACCTTATTCAAAATATTCCCACTCACTTGAGTTTATTTTCCGTTTCCTCACGACGTGCCAACAAATCTCGCTTCCACTGTGGTATCTGTGACAGACGTCGATTCTCGGCCTCCTTGGCCATGCGCTCTTCAAATTCCTTCTTGGCTTTTTCGGCCGCCTTCTTTGCCATCATTTGTCGTTTCCAGTCGGGTATAATATTACCGGCTGGATCTTTCTCCGGTATCTGTAAATAAATCTTAGACAATTTATGAAGTTTCCGCCAAATTGGTGGCCATAGAGTCTCCCCCTCCCTACTCACTTGATCAACATAATTACTGGCCGTAAATTGTTTGGTTATTTCCGAATAGTGTTCCGAATCGAAACGATTGGCCATTTGTTTTTCCACTTTCATTTTCTTGATGCCCGATATATCTTTGGAGATTTTCAGCTCGGCAATAAGATCTGTCTTCAGATAGGTATCCGTTGTCGACGATAGGCACTGCATGCTGAGACTACGGGCAGGCATTTGATATGGTTTGGGTACTTTTTGCGTATCGGTGCGGCGAAGCTATAAAGGTATTGCGAAGCTGTAGAATATATAATAAAATTGATGTAGGGTTGTTACTTACCTGCACACTATTTAAGTCCTGTATGGATATTGCGGACAATGGCTGATGCTGTTTCCTGGTTGTGGTATCCTGATGATGCGAATTCTGTGACTGCAGACTAATGGATTTGCTGTTGTTGTGACGATCGTTGTTGTTGATGGTATTATGCTGTGGCAGCGGTGTCATTGGCAATGGCGGTGGTGGTGGCGGTTTTGGTGGATCAAATGCTACAGGATGCTGATTTGACACCTGTATATGCATATAGTCTTCTGAATCCGTAGACCTGTAAAGGGGAGACAAATTCAAAAAATGAAATAAAATATATAGACAATTTAAATAATGAAAGTTGGGATTAATGTCTGCATCAACTTCGTAGCCTAAAGTTGTGAAGAACTTGATGATTTTCACACCAAATAAGAAAATTGAAAAATACATTTTGTAGATAAAGTAGATTGCGTGTGGCGCCATCTATATGTCAGCAAGCATGCTGATCCAATCAATCTTCAATATATTAATTTTCAAACTTTCAAGGTTTTATATATTATTCAACCTTTTCTTTTTCGAAAGGAATAATTCATTTTGAAGTTCACCGAAAAGGATATCAATAAAACCATTGTACAATGGACCCACATCCAAATTTTCCGTCCAAAACTATTTCAACGTCTCCATAAGTAAGCCCTAGAAACAAATATTGATCTCAATATCAAATCTCTCCTTCTTAGACACCAAGGGTGATACAGAAGAAGTACTATTTTGTTCATTAAAAAAACAACAACAACCACAAGATATCAACAGAGACCTCAATATCCAATTTCGGGATTCCAGCTATATCCCTTCACCCAATACCCAATTTAGTACCGCTAAGTATTTTTCCCACAATTATCTCTATCCCTTCAACAAAGAAAAAAATTTAGTACTATTTAGTACATTTCGTACAATGATAATGCACATTTCCACATTTGGTGTCATGAAACCAAGTTGGTTATGTCACTTTCGAATGTAAATAAAACCAATGTTCGAAACAGCTGTTGTTGCTTACATGTGTTGTTTGTTTATTTGTCATTGAAATATCAGTAAAAGTAAAGTAAATAAAAAAGGAATAAGTCGCTATAAATGAAGTAAGATTGCATCAGAAGTGGTAGTTTTTGTGTTGTTGGACGAGGAACGCTCAGAAAAGGTGACGAGAAAAGCTTTTAGAGATTTCAGCAACCCACTGGAGTTGCCGGAGATAGCGTAAGTAATTTTTTTATTGCGAACTTACTCATGAAGCTGCATTGCAGATTTATGGTTTATGGTCCTTTAAAAATTCTTTAAAAAATCCTTAAAAAATCCACGTTTATGGTTCTTTAAAAATTCTTTAAAAAATCCTTAAAAAATCCACGTTTATGGTTCTTTAAATATCCTTTAAAAAATTCTTAAAAATCCACGTTTATGGTTCTTTAAATATCCTTTAAAAAAGCTTTAAAAAATCCACGTTTATAGTCCTTTAAAAATTCTTTAAAAAATCCACGTCTATAGTCCTTTAAAAAATCCACGTCTATAGTCCTTTAAAAATTCTTTAAAAAATCCACATTTTTAGTCCTTTGAATATCCTTAAAAAATTGTTTAAAAAATCCACACTTTTAGTCCTTTGAATATCCTTTAAAAATTGTTTAAAAAATCCACATTTTTAGTCCTTTGAATATCCTTTAAAAATTGTTTAAAGCTGCTCTGCAGATTTATGGTTTATGGTCCTTTAAAAATTATTTAAAAAATCCTTAAAAAATCCAAGTTTATGGTCCTTTAAATATTCGTTAAAAATTCCTTAAAAAATCCACGTCTATAGTCCTTTAAAAATTCTTTAAAAATCCACGTCTATAGTCCTTTAAAAATTCTTTAAAAATCCACGTCTATAGTCCTTTAAAAATTCTTTAAAAAATCCACGTCTATAGTCCTTTAAAGATTCTTTAAAAAATCCACGTCTATAGTCCTTTAAAAATTTTTTAAAAAATCCACGTCTATAGCCCTTTAAAAATTCTTTAAAAAATCCACGTCTATAGCCCTTTAAAAATTCTTAAAAAAATCCACGTCTATAGTCCTTCTTTGGCTTCTATGACAACCAAAACCGATAAAATTCCAATTCGAAAATAAAACCAATAACATTGATTTTCATGACAACAAAGCATTTTTTTCTTCTCGTTTTTAAAACCAATAGTGACAAAATTGTTTTCTATGACAGCCCTGAATATTTCTTTGGCCCAAAAACGAACCCTATAGAAATTAGTGAGAATCGGTTCAGATATAGCTTTAGCTCCCATATTTTTGTTTCATCCGATCTAATGTTTAAGTCCCTCACTTTCGTAATACGCATTCGACAACAATGATATTTGGTAGCAGATATCTTTTAGAGCTCGGAAATACCTCTGCCAAATTTAATCAAGATCGATTCAAATTTGGATATTGCTCCCATATATATCACTTCAACCGATTTCCGGTTAATTGTGCACCAAATGGCCAATAACAGTCCAAATGACCTGAAATTTGGCACATCCGACCGAATTTAGTCTAGAAGAAAGTACATCACATTTTTTTGAAAATTCATCCGATTTCGTGTCCAAGTTCCTCACATTCGTACTATGCATTCGACAACAATGGTATTTGGTACCGGATATCTTATAGAGTTCGGATTTTTTTTTTTGAGATAGGTTAAGATTTGGATATGGCTCCCACATATAAATACTTAATCCGAATTCATGTTTATTGTGCAAATAATGACCAATATCAGCCCAAATGGAGTGATTTTCGGGACGTACGTTTTCTTTCGGTGGATCTCGGCTCCTATGCATACCATGCACAATATGTTATTTGGTATAAAAGATAAAAATATCTCCGTCAAATTTAGTGAAAATCGATTCAGAATTGGATATGCCTCCTATCTACAGGGTGACATGAAAAACTGCCACCAACTTCAGACAGACAGTCATTTCTAAGTCACACGTCCGACAGCTGTTAAAATTATTCAAGTGACAGCTAATTATATTGTTTACAATCGTACAAAAGCATTTTGGTGAGAATTTTCAGAATAAATGCCGAATATTATCGCGAAAATATTCTGGAGGGTGTATTAAAGCCTTGGGCATGCAAACATTTTGGCCGCAGACCTTGGACATTCCAACAGGATTCAGCACCATCGCACTCAGCACGCGACACCCAAGAATGGTTACAAAATGAGGTTTCTAGCTTCATTTCCAGCGCACAATGGCCACCAAAATCTCCGGATACCAATCCGTTGGACTATTGTGCTCTACAAAATAATCATAGTGGTGTAGGGTTTTGCATAGTCGGCCAGCCTAACTTTCAACTTTTCTTTACTGGTTTATTAATATAGATTATCTCAAAGTTGACATTTGGAATTCGTAATAGACACCGCCCTCGCTGGGAGACAATTTCTTATACAGGTACACGTTTTCGTATTGTCCCCTATAACTTTAAGACCTGATAATTGGAATTTCGAAGATTTTAGCAGCATTTTCCAATTTTTGTGGGTACTTTATCCTTTGGAAGAGAATTATCTATATAGGTCCATGATATCGTATAGCTCCCATATAACGGTACCCCCCGATATTCGGTATTTTGATGATTTTACCAACATTTTTTAACGGAATTGTCTGAAAATCCACACAAGGAATACCTTGTGGGTACTTTATACCTCGGAAGAGAATTATCTATATAGGTCCACGATATCGTATAGCCCCCCATATAACGGTACCCCCGATATTCGGTATTTTCATGATTTTAGCCATATTTTCCTATGGTATTTTCTGAAAATCCACACAAGGAGTTCTTTGTGGGCACTTTAACCCCTGAAAGGTAATTGTATGTATAGGTTCTCATATATCGGCAGGTTCCGATATTCGATATTTTAAAGATTTTAACAGAATTTTTAATGGATTTTATTTTTTGAAAATTTTCCAATTCGTTTCAAAATGGTGGAGGGTATTCAAAGTTCGGCCCGGCCGAACTTACTCCTTTTTTACTTGTTTATAATTTGCAAGTTCCTTCTAAAGGGTGGAGTAGGAACTCAGGTGATTTCTTAGTTGTTTTTTCACTTTTTTTTTTTGAGAAATTTTGTATTTTGAAATTGCAGGATAAGAAAATAAAATTTCATTTTACTCCATTTTGTCTACAGTTTCGATGTTTTGGTTTTTAAAAAGGATAAATTAAGTAAAAGTCTTATTAACATCGCAAAAAAAAATCACCAAATATTTCAGATCTGGAAAAAATCGATTTTAATAAACATTTTTTCACTCAGTTTTAGATTCAAGGTTATATTTTTTCAGATCGAAGTTTGATTTAAAACCCCACCAAAATGTTCTTCACTTCGAACTCTTTTTCAATATTGACTGCTGACAGAATTATAATTCGAATCTGTTGCTTTTAGTGATCACCAACACATACCTATGCCAGGTGCGACGTGAGTGTAGTATCATCGCGACGATGTTCGAATAGAAACTAAATCGAAATGAACTTGCAACAAGGCATGAAGCACAAATTGGTCAAGTCCGGCATGGTGGTGGAGAATGGATGAGGCAGCATTTTAAATGAGATTTAATTTTTGCGTTATCTAGCTTCGGTTTTTGTTTTATTTTGGGAAATTTTTTGGCAACTATAAAACTGTCATGCTAGACTGCTTGTTGCAAGCAGAAGAAAAAGAAGAAGAAGAAGCAGATTGGATTGAACACGAGCACGCATTAACTTCAATTAGTAACTTTTAAATTAAGAAATTAATCTTTTTTTCGGGGGCATTTGGATTAGTAATGCCTGCCAGCCAATGAATAATCCGCAACACTTTTCTTTCTTTCTTTCTTTCCTTACTTCTCACTTACCTGGCTGATGAGGGGCATGATCGCTTATCGCTGATGCTTTTCAAATATTCCGATGGTTTGATGAGATGTGTAATGCCGTCCAGGGAGTTGTTGGGAAAACTGGGTGGCACAAATGGCAATACCAATTGTTTATTTACAAGATTAGGGCCATTGGGCCGTGTGGCGGAGGAGGAGGCAGACGAATTACCAGCCGCGTTATTGTTGTGACCGTATTGGGCCTGTGTCAATTCGTAGTGATCCTCAGCGGATGAGCCATAAATATGTTGCTGTTGTTGGATTTGATTGTAGTGATGATGATTTTGAGAATTCTGTGGAGCACTGCCGCCGTTGTGTAGAGTTCCCGTAACACTGCCAACGCCAGAGCTGCCGTTGTGCGGCAAATGTTGGTAATGGGATGAATTTTTGCCATAATTACCGCCACCGTTAGCGCCGTTCTGAAGTAGCTGCTGATAGCCACCATTGTTGCTGTTGTTGTTATTGTGGTAATGATGATTGTTGCCGCCACCCATATTGTTGTTATTGTTGTTAATTTCACCATTGTTGCCTGCCGACGTTGGCTGTTGCACGCTTGAGCCTCCATTAAGTAGCTTGGCTTTCTTGTTGGCTAAACAAAATTCAATTGGAAATGCAAAAAAAAAAAAAAAAGAAGAATACGAAAAGAGAGGGAGAAAGAAAAAAAAAGAAAAAAAAAAACAAAATTAATTCAGAAATTTATTTATAAGATGCAGCAGAAAGCCGTAAGCTAACGAAATTTAATCTAATTGCAAATACGAGGTGTGGTATGGAAAGTGTGGTAAATTTTAAATTTTTTTTTTATAATTTTTTGACCATAAAATATTGACTTTGGATAAAAGTATTGTAAATTAATTTCAAGTTGCTAGAAATAATATAATAAGGTATGCTAGAAACAAGAATAGTGTATTTCTGGGTCGGATGGACTTTTCTTGGAGAATTCTTATTGAAGAGAGCAAAAAATTGAGTAAAACTCCATTAACAACATATAAACGTAGACACTTCTAGAAAACTAGCCATTGTAATATACTGCTCCTAGAAAAAAGGTGGCGAGCACGGGCATAAAGGGCGAGGAAGAAACAACTTTCAGACAGAAGGACGTGGTAAGTGGAACAGATCAGAAAAGCCGGTACAAGAGGGGGGTTACCAAAATTCGTATGAAGACATGGAACATTGAGGTGGACTGATAGCTAAGTAAAATTGATGGAACACTTTCATCGACCACCTTTGGGAATGCCAATGTGGTAAGGAAACGAGCTGTCATCAGGAAAATCATGGAAGAAATCAGATTAACTTTGAGGACTACTAAGATCACTGGAAAACCAGAGGGTTAATAAGTGGGACAGATCAGAAGAAGCCGGTAAAAAAGGAGGGGGTTACCAAAATTCGTATGAAAACATGAAACATTGCGGTGGTCTGGTATCGGTAGGAAGTTTTCAAAGCCTCTAAGTAAAATTGATGTAACACTTTCATCGACCACCTGTGGGAATGCCAATGTGGTAAGGAAACGAGCTGTCAGTAGCTGTATCAGGAAAATCATGAAAGAAATCAGATTAACTTTTAGGACTACTAAGATCACTGGAAAACTAAAATTACTAAAGAAAGGGCAAAAGTCGGGCAGGGCCGAACATTTTTTGAACTGAAGTGTAGAAAAGAAGTTAGGTTCCCCCGTTCGAGCTCTTCATACTCTCTATTGAGATGAAATATTTAAGCGATATATATCTTTTTTTCTATTTTCAAAGACTTGCAACAGGGTGGTTAAAATTGTCAGAATACCAAAAGTCGATTTATGGGGGGCTATACAATGACGTGAGTCTGTATAGTCAATTTTCTGTTACAGATGTTGTTACGAACTCTAAATACCATTTTTGAAACAATTTCGGTAAAAAAAAAGAACACAAATCATTGAAATACCAAATATCGGGAGGTACAGTTATATGGGGATTATATATCAAAACTTGGACTTATATGGACAGTGGTTTGCAACATACTGGGGACACAAACTGCCAATTTACAGAAAATTCAATTTAAAACTATGACTGAAACACCAACAACACCTTAAATTGCGTGGTAGAGTTATATGAGTGCTATATACAATCATGGGCCTATGTACCCTATTTTCAATATTAAAAAATCCAGGGCCCAATACGAATTAAGAAAAAAGTGTTGTCCACCTATATTTTTTCGATCGATTGACTAAATCAACATAGAAGCTTATCATCGGAAATATATATGTTTTAGGTCTAAAATGCCTATTTCGAGTAGTACCAGCCATAGTTTGCACGCTTCCTAGTTGGTGGAGGGCACAAAAAGGCCATCTGAAAGTTTGTACTAAAAATTGTACTCAGAAGTAAAAACGTCGATAAATGTGTTGGGGTCGAACTTTTTATGCACTCCCTGCCCCTATATGAAAACTTGATGTATGATCAAAATCGGCTATCTTCAAAATCCCTAGAATTTTAAAGTCATATTTCTTGAAAGGAGTTGATCCTCCCACAGAGAACATCAAATTTCAGGAATTGGGGGTGAAAAATTCGAAATTATAATGGGGAAATAGCAAAAAAGGGACCTACGATTGGGATATTTTTGGGAAAAAACAGAAAAAAACATTTATTCCTAAAAATCGTGAGGTTATATAAAAAGGCAACGACGAAATGGTACATTTTCAGATACCTTTACTTTTTTTGTTTGGCTCACGAAGCTTGCCGAGAGGAATATGAAAATACCCGTCACAAAATCAACGGTCACACTCTTTGCCCCTGAGATAAGAACACAACAGAATGTGCAGGTCGAGGAAAATTTAATTCCGTCAACAAACTAACCCAAGATTCTAGGCGTCACATTCCGACAGCATGTTCAAGTCGTCCACGCAAACCACAGCTATCTGCGACAAAATTAAAAGTTAGAACAAGGTCCTCAAGGCGCTAGCCGGCAGTACTTGGAGTGCGGATAGGGAGATCTCGTTGACATCTTATAACGCGACCTGTGGTCAGCTATGCGGTCCCAGTGTGGTCTGCGAATACAAGTACCAGACCTGGCAAGGTGACTCCTCTTGACACCAGTAGACCATCAACATGAGGAGGCGCACGTCAGCATAAATATACGCTTTTGTTGCTGTATTTGCTTGGGAATTATTGTGGGAGTCAACCAAACCAAAATATGTTGAATACAACTCCCCCACCCAGGCGTATCAAGAAGGACATATATGATATAGAGAGGCGGGTTCAACGCTAAAGTAGAGAGTCTCTAGATCAAGAAGTCAATCAGGCAGGTCTGAGTGGCTAATATTTTTCCCAAAAGACTGATCTGGTCACTCAGTCTGGTGAAGTTCGTAGATGGGCTACATCGATCCACAATATCCTTTATACCCCCATATAACTGGATAACCGTTATATGGGGGTATAAAGGATATTGTTATCCAGATATTCGGTATTTTGATGATTTTAGCCACATTTTTCAATGGAATTGTCTGACATTCTACACAAGGATTCCTTTGTGGGTACTTTACCGCCTGTAAGAGAATTGTCTATATAGGTCCACGATATCGTATATCTCCCTTATAATGGTACCTCCCTGTATTCGGTATGTTGACGATTGTAGACACAGTTTTCAATGGAATTATCTGAAAATCCACACAAGGAGTTCCTTCTGAGTTCTTTTCCCCCTGGAAGAGTATTGTCCCTATAGTTCCACAATATCATATATTCTCCATATAACACTACCTCCCGATATTCGGTATTTTAATGATTTAACTACATTTTTGACCGGAATTGTTTAAAATTTCGTATTTTAAGGTTGAAGCTCGTAATGAGTACTGCGGAAAATTGTCTATGCATGTCTACGTCTTCGTATAGCCCACATATAACCCTTTATTCCGTATTTTGATGATATTAGCTACATCATCATCATCATGATTCATTATTCACCGGAATTGTTTCAGGTTTGATGTTATTTTATTTTTATGTTGTTTTATTTTTTTATTTTTATTATTATTTTTATTATTATTATTATTATTATTATTATTATTATTATTATTATTATTATTATTATTATTATTATTATTATTATTATTATTATTATTATTACTATTATTATTATTATTATTATTATTATTATTATTATTATTATTATTATTATTATTATTATTATTATTATTATTATTATTATTATTATTATATTATATTATTATTATTATTATTATTATTATTATTATTATTATTATTATTATTATTATTATTATTATATTATTTTATATTATATTATTTTATATATTATATTGTTATTATTATTATTATTGTTATTATTATTGTTTTTATTATTATTATTATTATTATTATTATTATTATTATTGTTATTATTATATATTATTATTATTATTATTATTATTATTATTATTATTATTATTATTATTATATTATTATTATTATTATTATTATTATTATTATTATTATTATTATTATTATTATTATTATTATTATTATTATTATTATTATTATTATTATATTATTATTATATTATTATTTATATATTATATTTATATTATATATTGTTATTATTATTGTTATTATTATTATTATGTATTATTATTATTATTATTATTATTATTATTATAATTATTATTATTATTAATTATTATTATTATTATTATTATTATTATTATTATTATTATTATTATTATTATTATTATTATTATTATTATTATTATTATTATTATTATATATTATTATTATATTATTATTATTATTATTATTATTATTATTATTATTATATTATTTATATTATATTATTTTATATTATATGTTATTATTATTATTATTGTTATTATTATGTTTATTATTATTATTATTGTATTATTATTATTATTATTATTATTATTATTATTATTATTATTATTATTATTATTATTATTATTATTATTATTATTATTATTATTATTACTATTATTATATTATTATTATATTATTTTATATTATATTATTTATTATTATTTATTATTAATACTTTTTTATATTTTTATGTTATTTTATTATTATTTAACGAAATTGTTTCAAATTTTGTATTGTTGAAGTTCGGAATCGGTACTACAGCCTATGATAAAAAATTACTTATGCAGGCCCACGTCTTCGTATTTATTTAATTTATTTAACGGTTTTCATTTAAGTGGTATTTTTCGACGATTTTATTTTGGAAATTTTCAAGATCCTTCAAAATGTTGGGGAGTTCAGCCTTACTTGATAAACCTGGAGTTGACCCAAATAACAGAATTCAAAGAATACATGTGTTGCTATTACAACAACAACGAAATGTTCTCGAAAGGCATTTGGGTTATAAACGAGTATATTTCATCCGGACATTTGGAGTCGATCTAGCCATGTCCGTCCACCTGTTCTATTTTAGAGTAATTTTGAAAATGTCAGTCATATTGAATGTATCCACTACCACTTATATAGTCAAAAAATAGTCCACTTAGGAAAGGAGCGATCGTGGAAAATATTGCTTTTCATAGCTACCACCAAAAAGTATACATTTTAAATACTAATTCTAATAAAATTTGAAGTCAGTTTTCAAACTTCTTAAAATTTCACAAATCCC